TCGACATATCCTAACCTTAAAAAAATAAAAATAATAATAATAATAATTCTCAAACACCACAAATCGGAACCTTCTATCATCACTACGACGCCACGTTCAAAAGCAAGCTCCCAAACATTACTACCATCGTCCAAATCTCACCAACATCGTCATCAACATAAATGGCGTCATTGACGAGCCAACACAATGGTCAACAACCATTAAATATAATATTTCTCTCAAAATGAAAGAAATACGTGTTAATTTACATTAGATGGCCAACTGTAAAATCCTAATATGATCAAACTGTAAAAATTTCTACCGAACAATTTGTATTGGTTTCCTATTAAACAGAGACAGATTTAGGGGGGCTAGGCAGGGCTGTAGCCCCCCCCATCCCCCAACTCAGGTTCAATGGTATTTTTTATTTTTAAAGACATGTCTGAGCGACATTTTTTCAAAAGACATGTCTGAGCGACATTTTTTCAAAAAAATGTATTTTTAAACAGTGATTTGACATTATTTCAACCACACATTCTTCAATAAAATAATATTACACGTAAATCCGAAACTTTTCTATATTTTTTAACCACACATTTCCTATCAATATACTATTCAAAAATTTATTCTAAGGAAAATAATTTGACTCAAACAAGGGCTAAAACTCAATACAAATGTGTAAACCTAAAACTCCATGGTCTAATCTTTAGTCCGCAACATGATCATTCGTCCCCAACCATCTCAATCTAAGCATCTTGTTATAAAATTAAGGAGACGAGGTTATATGAAAAAAATATGAAGTAGCAATCACAACACAAGAAGAATTCAAGAAATTGGCAAAGAAAATTGAGAATTTATTATAATGGAGAAAGTAAAAAGATTATGTGTTTATCACAATTCTAATGAGGTCTAACTTGTTCTAACTATGAAGAAGATCCAACTATACATAGGGGTATATATCTAACCTTAATAGGAATCTCAAAGATGGAAATAATATCAAAAAATGCGTAAAAATGCGAAATGGATCATGGGCCGAAATAGCCTGTTGCTAAAGTTCAACCATGGGGGGAAGCGAGCAATGGGGGTCGCCGCTTGAATGGTAGGTTGGCGCCACCTTTCTGTTTTCTGCACTCAAGCGAAAAGCAAGTGTGCAACTGGTGGCGTATTGGCGACTTTTCCTTCTTAGTCCATACGTCAACCTCTTCAAAATCCAATCCCACAAATTCACAAATATCCAATCGAATTTGGGTCAAACTTTAACAAATCTCCACCTTGAATCAAATTTCATGCAATGAGTCAAATTTCAAAAATTCTTCACCTGGGTAAAAATTCTAAATTGAACTCTTCAACAAGTACTTTAGCTAATTCTCCAACGAACAAAATTCTCCACTTGTTCCATAAAATCCTACTAAGATAAATAAATCCAAGCACTGCTCAAAAGAATTATCTCATGTTCCCAAAATTTGCTCAAATTATCAACACGAGCAACAAAAACACAAAATAAATTAACAATCACCAAATAGGGCAAAATCACTTCTTGAATAGAATCAACACTACAAAATGCTTTTGTAGAAGGTTTTTCACTAGGCTCAACACCTTCAACCAAACTTAAAGTATATACACCTAAATCAGCTTTTCCCCACTTATGTGAAGGCCTAATATTTCTTTTGGATTTATCTCTAGCAATTGTATACAATGGCACCACTATTGGTGGTGGAAAAGTGTTATCCATAACCTCTAAACTCGACTGAGAAGAATTCTTCAACATGGATCCCAAGCCAAACTGCAACTGTACTGTACCAAACTAAATAGCCACCAAAGAACTAAATCTTTGTTGATTGATCTTAAATATTCTGCACAACCTTGCAAGACATACAACTGAGACCTTCGTTGCTCCTCCAACATAACATAGACACCTTTGCAAATTTGATTACTGAAGTTAGACTTCAACCCATCCCTATATTACCACCATGAACAACAAAGCATTTTCCTTAAGTCTCTGATTCAACAAAATACTTCATCTTCTCTTTTGAAAACAAAACATCATATAATTTTTCAATGGTGAAAGTATCACGATTATATAAGATCGTGTCTCTATACAACATATATGAAACGGGCAATTAACACAATAAAATCAAGCACAAACAATTTTCATTATACTTACCCTCCAAGGTTCCAAACCAGTGATAATTGCTTTAAAGACAACAAGATGATTTTCTAAGGATATACCTTCTATCATACGATGAGAATACAAACACAATTTTTAGGTGCAATCTGTTATTTAAACTCTTAATCATGCATAACTATTCCAACTTTGATAATAACAAAGTTGAGGTTTCTCCTTCAAAATGCTAAAGAACATGATTCGAAAGATGAAGATGAATATGTGAGCCTTTCGATCTTTACATTGTTTTTCCTCCATCTACCAATTTGAGAACATCTTCTCAAATTCCAACAAGCGTCGTCCAAATCCATATGAGCGAGCATTGCTCATATCTTCACCTACGAAACGAGAATCTAGTGTTGCAATCCAAAATTAAAATATCATACTTTATGATTGCCATCACAAGAACAAAATATCGAACAAATCAAACCTTAAGCTTTGATACCAATTGTTATACAATTAAGAAGATGAGGTTATATGGCAAGATATGAAGTAAAGATCACAGCACAGGAAGAATACAAGAAATTGGCGGAGGAATTAAGAATTTATTATAAAGAAGAAAGAATTACAAAGATTGTGTGTTTATTATGATTCTAATGAAATCTAACTAGTACAAACTATGAAAAATGGCCAACTATATGTTGGGGTACATGTCAAGCCCTAATAAGAGTCTTAAAAATGGAAATAACATAAAAAAGAGTCCAAATGTGAAACAAATCACGGGATGAAATAGCCCACAGCTCGAGCGCCCTTTGGCGGGAAACGAGCGACGAAGACGTCGCTAGAGCGATAGGCTGGAGCCAGGCTAGTGCCAGTTTACTATTTTTCGCGTGGGAGCAGGAAGTGAGCGTGCAGCTGGTAGCGTGGCAACGAATTTTCCTGCTTGGTCCATATTTCGACCTCCCCATATATATATATATATATATATACACACACACAAGTAGATTGCATATCTGTGCCATTCTAGTTGGTGGTGGCTACATGGTGTGGTGGTGCAAAGAAGATGCTATCTATGATGTTGGCAATGAAAATAATTGTAAAAATTATGGTGGTATCATCTTAGTGAAGATTCTAACGAAGATGGTGGTTTCAATAGTTGTGGTAGCGATGACAAAGGGTGATGATGTGCTTGATATTTGTAAGAAAGGATTTAGGGTTTAGTGGTATTTGAATAATGTTTGAAATTATGTGGGAAGACTAGGATGTTTAAAAATTGGGATTTAATTTAAAATAAGGTGAATTTTATTAATGGTTTTATTATGCCTCATAATCTGAAACTCTTAGTGGAAGCCATGTGGAGACATCTAACAGTCAACGGAGACCCATTTGGTCAACACTATTGTTTGAAGTGCGCTTCAGCACTATTTTATTGTCCCAAAGCCCCTCTGCTAAAGTGGTACCTCATTGTTCCGAAGCACATCTACCAAAGCACTATCTCCTTGTTCTAAGCCCTCTCTTAAGTTGAAGCCCCTGCTATTTTCCAAGGAATCTACAGAGTATTTCTAGGAATGATTGATGTAACGTTTATGTTAATGAATGTCAGAATTGTTAGCATAAGGAATAGGGTGGCTAACCCTTTTGTCAATTTATTAAATGTATGACAGATTATGATGTAAGGCCCAGTTAATGAGATAAAGACGTGTGGTTTTAATCCAACGGCTACCACGTTGGCCCAAACTCTATAAATAGTAACTTTTGTAACATTTGAAATAAGGGGCAAACTTTACATACTTGAAAATCAGACTCAATCTTCTATCTTGTTCCTTCTATATTTATTTGCTTGAGTTTCGATTGCTTCTACTTTGGTGGAATTATTTGTGATTGTTTGTTTGTTTGCAAACATCTTTGACCATATTGTTAGTGCTTGAACATTTTTTTTTTATCTCGTGTTATAAAGCATCTTCCACCTCCATAATCATCACCCTTCTCCATCTGAATCTTCGATCAAAATGTGTTGAAATTTGCTTACATGGACCCGACATCTATTGTCCACGTAATCTCTACGAAAAATGGGGTCAACAAGTTTGATTAAAATGGTTATAGTCCCAAGTCCCAAAGGAGATTGCATCAATCAACCTAAAGGGACAGCCCAACTAATCTCTAGTATGACATGTTCACCCAATACTAGTCATGCCAGTAGATTGTAATGAGCATCACGTTTCTTTCTAAATGAACTTCACGCCAATCCTGCCAAGATGCTATGAGGTACATGTATCTTAATCTTGAGCTGCCTTACACTTCTCAAATTTTAACTATAAGTCACGGAGCGAATTCTCTCTATCCATGTGGCCTAATAGATTTGTCACGAGCTATATGTATGGGCTGTAATACTACCGAATGTGCTCTAAAAGTATGCAAGTCTTTTATGGCAAGATTATATTGCTTGAACAGGGCCACATAGCGGCGTAGGCCATGTTTAAACAAGCGCGCTCCTATAGGTGGGGGTCTATTGGAGATAGGCTGGCTTGGGAATGACTTCTTCTGCTTTGGGAACCCTAAGTTTCGCATGGGTATTCAATGTCATATGTATGGCAAACCATTGCAAAATTCTTTGACGTCCATGTTTTATCGAATAATGTTAGTGGTCTAATTGGTATTAAAATCCCCGTGAGTAGAAACTATGTGGTATTAAATAATAAATTCAATTAAATAATTATATAATTCTCTATTTGGTATAGCTAAAAATTAAAGCCATGTTATATTATTTAGCCCTTGTTTGAGCTACATTATTTTCAAAAAAATATATTTTTAAACAGTGATTTGACATTATTTCAACCACACATTCTTCAATAAAATAATATTACACATAAATTTAAAAAATTTTCTTATTTTTAACCACAGCTCAAACAAGCCCTTACTTAGTAGTCTATCGGCCCCTCAAAAGTTCTCCATTGGCCGCGGCAATGGCTTTGTGTTGGATTTCCATTGCCCCTTCAAACCACTACCACAACTCTATCATTATTCAAAACCTCAGCCTCACACACTCATCTCCACCGCCGCATAAACCCAAACCACCCCAAATTACCACTTCGGTCTCAACACTTTCTTCTTCTAATCCTATTACAGAAAGCAGTAGATTTCCAGTTGTTGTGAGCAAAAGATTAGTTAATCTCGCCATTGTCGGAGATGTATTATCAAGATTCTTGTTTTTCTCTAAGGCACTGGCCTCTCAGTTACTGGAGCTTCAACAATACACTGATCCCAAAGAAGGATTCACTCTTCTTATACCCTCTTCCTGGATTAAGGTCCATTCTCCTCCTACCTCTAATGGGATTTTTTAATTAAATTTTGGGTTTTTAATAGAGTAGAATTCACCGATTCTGAGTAGAATAATGCACTAAATCACACCCACACATGATTATGCCGGTGTATGAAAGGTGAAGTTGTTTTGGGAATTAACCCAAATGCTATTGGGTTTATCAGGTTGAAAAGGCGGGGGCAACTGTTTTATTTGAGGATTCAGAAAAGAAATCTAACAATATAGGGGTAGTGGTGAACCCAACTCGGATTTCGAGTCTCGGCGAATATGGAACTCCTCAGTTTGTAGCAGATAAACTTATCCAGGCTGAAAGGCGTAAGGTTAGTGAAGTGTAACATTTTTATAATATGATTGTTTTGCAAATTGCAATTATAATTTTCCGCCTTGGTCTCTGAAGCGTGATTATACGTTGTAATGAAATTGGAATGTGGTTTTACTTGTGATGGATTGAAAGGTGAAACAAAAATGTTACCGGTTGAAATAAATTAGCAAAGTAGGCTGAACCCTAATATATAGGAGGATTGAACTTTATTCCAGGGAAAAATGAGTAATCTTTTTATTAAATCTATCAGAATTTTCTGTGTTCATTATTAATGGACATTATTGCTGGATGACAAGTCTTTATAGGTAACTTGAATCTCTTGGGATTTAGACCTGATTGAGAAAGAACTTCAATTATGTAGGAAAGCACAAAAGAAGCCGAGGTAATTGCTTTCTCCGAGCGATCAGGTCACAGAGACCTTCAAGTATACGAGTTTGAATACAAGGTTGATAGCACCAGGGGAGGGTTGAAGAGGGTCTTTTCTGCTGCATTTGTGGCATCTAAGAAGCTCTACCTTTTGAATATTGCTCACTCTGATGGTTTAGATGACCCTCTGGATATGGAGAGAAGAATGACTCTGGAACAAATTTTGCACTCCTTTGACGCTGTATCTGCGACCTAAACAAAATAGCCCGATTCTTGATTTCCTTTAACTTGTCTTGGAAATCAAGGTATGCTGCCCCAGCTTCAGATTTTCAATTCTCTCATCACTGCTTGCAAACCAGTTTGCCAAATTTGCTTTTGTCATTTATGGCTTGTGTTTCAGTAGGGTGGAGTGCATTGAAGTGGTTAACTACTAAGAAAAAAAAAGAAATTAAATTATAATCCATTGTGTTGTCCACTTCGCACCAAACATGCACTTAGTACAATGATTTATAGTACTGGTTTTGCATACAATGTTCCTTGAAATCATCTGTGTAACGCGGTCATGCTGCAATGTATTCTTCTCCAGGTTTATGCTGTATCAAGAGATATAAGGGATTCCAATTTCAACCATATGGCCACAAATTTCTACTTGAAGCTCAAAATCCCATCTTAAAAGCCAATATATATTCTTCTCTCTCAACTTTGTATGTATAATTTATTGGGTCAATTAGTGGATCTGCTGTTTATGTGGGCAAAACCAGAAGCCAGTTTTTTTTTGGTAGCCTTTTTACAAATTTGTTGTACTTGAACAGTCTTCATCTAGAGCAAATATTATCTAATCAATTGGAACATTTCCAATTATACTGCATACACAATAGGCGAACGTGAAGTCTGAGATTGAACGTCAGTACCTAAAACCGTTCACAATAATCTCCTCTTTGAATAATTCATTTCGAAATGACAGTGTCTTCTGATTAATCAATTTGTTCCCACACATTACACTGATTAATCAGTGTGACATTAACAAATTGCATGAAAACATGAACTTAAACTGAGTAGGAGGAATATCTGTTTTTCCTCCTCTAAACAACATATAAACAAGTTTAACAAGGAGACGCACTTCACTTCGTGGAAGTCAAGAAATTCATATCCGCATCCTTTTTACATCGCTCTCAGGGACATTTACATCATTACCATTACCGCCAAATGATACCTGCAGCAATAGTTATGTTCATCCTAAAGACTCCGGTTCAAGAGATGTTTATTTTTTTTTTCGTATAAACATTGAGTTAAGAGAGGTTGACAAGTTAGTCATGTAACCATGCTAAGATGAACTTACGTTCTCAGTAGGAACAACAGCATATCTGTCAGATGGTGAGACCCAACTTTTTTCTGTATATGTAAACCATAAGTATACTGAAGATCAGTTCATGCTAACTTACTGAAACAATTCTAACTAATGAAATATGAAATGTTAGATCATGTACAGAACCCGATAATATATCAACTTTTGAGGCCTCTATCTGCTGTCCAGTTGATCCATCCATCCTCAATACCTCAATGATCTTTGGGACATTTCTGTAAAATTTAAAACAATGTAGAGAGCGCCAATAATTTGTTTCAAGTTGTATAGTCGAAAGTTAAGCAAAGTTCCAGATTCTTCCCATGAGAACCACAATTTTGATGTTGGACTGTAGTTGTACTTCGAAAGGAAAACAAACAGTTCGAGGAACAGAACTTTGCGGTCTTCGGATAATTCGCAAGGTATTCAGAATCACCTGTCCAGAGTATCCCCATGGCCAAGCTGTCCGTTTGTGCCCCTTCCCCACGAAAACACATTCTGCATTTCCGTTACAGCGAGTGTATGCCTCCAACCACATGAGATATCTACTACTTTCTGCCATAAATTTGAAGTGGAAAACCTTAGAATCGGAACCAGCCTTTTGTATTTGGAACTGACAAAATAATAACATTAAGAAAAGGACTATTGCCTCGTCAAGTGGAAATTTGACTTGTACAGGTGAGCAATGATCAACATTGTCACCAACACCAACTTGTCCAAACTGTGCAGAGTGAAAGGTTGAAAATGAAAATATATCAACATATAGACAATAATTTAAAGTTAGTTATGTGTAAAAGAACTGCTTGACGATGATATGCATAATGAGATTATATTCAGGCTATATAATCAAGAAGAAACTAGAATTTTGAACCTTATTCCAGCCCCAACCGTAAAGTTCTCCATTTGTTGTCAGTGCCATTGTGTGTCTCCAACCACCCGATATCTGGAAGCGAAAAAGAAAAATGTGCAAGAACCTCAATAACATGAATAGTACAAAAACAATATAGTTTATCTTTTTCTCTCCAGCTTTCCCACATTTTTATTATCCAAGGGCTTTACAGAATACAGTACTGGAAATTTTCTGATTCAGTTTAATTGGTAGGCCAAAAGAGAGGAATATGTGGTTCCAGAGTCTTCTCCTCATCTTCAATCCTCTACAATCAAACATACCTAAAAAATTCATGCAAATTTGTAACATTCTGACTTGTGTCGGAAATGAAAAATTACCTGAGAAATACATTTTTCATGCAAGGCTTCTAGCTTATGAGGGATTAGGTGGTCTTCAAAATCTCCATGTCCTAGTTGACCATACTTGCTCCACCCAAAGGTATACAAACTACCCATATTGGAGACAGCTATTGTATGCCGCCATCCACATGCCACCATAACCATCTTTTCTCCCTGCAATTCTGGATTAGTGTGACTTGGGGAGAAAAACGAAAGAAGGTGAATGAGACTAAAGTTGGAGATGCATTTTAGTCACAGGGTCAGTTGTTCTTGAAGTGGAACAGTACCTGATAGCTCATTGGTTACAGCAAAAATATGTGGATATTCACTGTCAAACCTACCTCGACAGTTGAAACTTTCTCGGGAATCAAGCGATCATTTCTATCACCTAATCCCAGATTTCCATATTGACCCCACCCCCAGCCATAAAGGTCACCATCTTCTGTTACTGCAGCTGTATGTTCAGCACCAGCAGAGACCATTTTGATAGATACTCTCTACAGAAAGTACAAGTGGCTTATCTATAAAATGATCAAAATACTCAATTTATCATTTTGTTGTTCACTAGAATATTAATACTAATTGGAAGAGACAGACAGCATCAATTTTTCTTGCTACTGATGTTAATATGTTATCACGCTTTGTCGGCTCCAAATCGAGCATAAACAAATATTTTAAATTCGTTTAACACACAAACAATTTTAAATATTATGTCATTTTTTCATTTTTGCTTTTTCTTTTCATTGTGTGAATTCATTAAGACATCTTTTTAATGGTAGCAGAGTTAAACATATTCTCTTTTACAAATTTATCTGGATCTCTATATCTTCATAGGCATTAAATGAGAACAGGATAAATAAAATCAATACAAACTCCAGGTGGAAATTTTTTGCACTTTGTTAAAACTGAAATCAGACAACTTGATAATTAGAAAAATGAAAAGAAAGCTTCAAAGATCAGACAATTCCCTGTTCACATGAATACTTTCGGTAAACTCTGTCATGCTAATGCAACAAGCACATATAGCATTCCGTTTCTTGGGACACATTCTAGTTTTATTTTATCTAAGACTGCTGGAATGAGAAACAATAGCAGGGGAAAAAAATGAAAACACCTCTATGGAATAAATGAGTGAGAGAAAAGAAAGCAGCAATCAGAACTTATCGATGTAATAAGTAATTCATTGTACCTTGAAAGCTTCAATCTTCCATGGCACAAGAGAATCCTCCGTCGTCCCAAGGCCTAGTTGACCATTTTGATTTCGCCCCCAACTTTAATCGAGTAGAAGTGCAAAAATGTCAGTTAGCGTAAACATTCAACTCATTTAGATATATGATATATCACAATTCAAAACAAACTAACAATCTAATGCTTCTACACGGGAAAAAACTCAAAAAAATTCTTAGATTGAAATAATTCTACCTTCGATGTAGCTTACATACAGAAATTTAATAGTACACAAATTACAGAAGCTCAAAATAAAAAAGAACACTGTGGTTGCTTCGCACAATTTGAAAAGTTTGAAGAATTGTAAGTCTTATGCTTTAACACGGGATCAGGGCAGTACCTTACCATCATCAACAAAAGAATAACTCACAAGATACTCGTATTTCCTACATTTCAAAATTACATAGAAATCTCTTTGTCAGGGTTTCTAAGTTATGAGATATTGCTCTTTTGTATATCTTCAATTTGAAGTCAGCAAACATGGGGTGAAAAACAATGTTTGGAATTTAGATAACAAGTTATGCTGATATAGTATTCTGTGATTGTGTAGAAGAATGCGAAAAATTAGATCGATGGAGCTATAAACTAATACGAGGAAAGTATATGCAAAGTACATCGAATGGCTTGAAGCAGAACCAACCTCTGCACTTCACCTTCCATGGTCACTGCCAAACAATGGCTGTCCCCACAAGCAATTTGTTTAATCCGTAAACCCTGTAATGCATTGATTGGTTGAGGAGAAAACAAGTCGCTGGAGTTCCCATGACCCAACCTCCCGAAATCACCCCTAGAATTGTTTTTACAGAGAAAACCCATTAGTTTGTGTGTGTTGCATCATAGTCATTCAAGACTCTCACTTGGTTATTCATGAATAAAAAACAATCATCCAAATAAACAGTGAAGGATTACTGAAAAACAATCATCCATATTTTGAGGTCGTGCACGATGGTGAAATTAAATCAAGCAAAACATAAACAATAGGAAGCAATGGAACATTACATGATTAGGCCTAAGGTTTAGAATAGTCACGTGATGTCTAAAACGTAGCTGAATGTCCGTTGATTGTTAATAAAATGCTGTGCTGCAGGACTCTCCTCAAACTACAATAGCTAGTATCTACACTGAGTCAAGTGTTTAGAAATTGGAAATATAAGCAATCGTAAACTTGATTTTTCAAGAATGCCAGATGTTTTTCTCAACAGAATAAAGATTTCGTTCAACTCCAAACTTCATTCGACAAACATCAAAGAATTTTTTGAAGGGAAAAAATGCATACCATCCCCAACTGTAAACTTGCATTTGGGACTGGGAGTATGCAGTTGTATGATCAGCTCCACAAGTTACAGATACTATATCTAGTCCATCCAATGAACTCAATTGAGTAGGAGAAAGCCGATCCTTAGAGTCCCCATGGCCTAACTGTCCATCTTCTTCCCTTCCCCAAGAGCAAATAACATTTCCAACTGCATCATATCAATTATTTTTGCATACTAAAATTTAAATATTTGAAGCATTTAACATTTTTAACAACTGCCACCATCCATAAAATAGAACTCCTTGAGTTAACATGATCATGAGAGTAGAATATCAGTGATTAAATTTCTTTGCTCTATATTTCACAGATTCCACATACTACTAACCCTAGAACGATAAAAAAAATTTGAATAAAATTTAGCACTTTCACTTCTTGGGCATTCAAAAATTTGACAAATTAGACAGATGCATATTCTCCATCCTTGGTCAACTGTGCAAGATATGTTTAACCTTAAAGTTACAGATATGCCCCTCATTAAATTCAGAAGGATCAAAATCAGTAGTAACGTGGAGCATTCTGGTCCATGCAAAAAAACATTAATTTAGCAAATCAAATTCTTTAACGAAAGATGAACAGCAAAACCTAAATGAAAGAATTTGTTCTTCATTATCAATCTTAAATTCATCGGATTGTTTTATAAAACTTACAGAGGAGGGCTACAGAATGGCTAGCCCCAGCAGATATGAGTAGCACTCTACGAACCATTTCACTGCTACTATGCTTTTCGCCTTCCTGTGTCATCTTTTTCCTTTCTCTCTCAGTGTATCACTTTCTCTATAAATATTTATTGATTTTAAGTATTTTTGTTTTCTAAAAATTTCTCAAACTCTTGAAGGCAGGGAGAGCATCTTTTCTACCATTGACAAGGGAAACATACTGTATATTTATAGCGATAGATATGGCTGGCATGTGCTATTGCAGCCTACTGTAGTAAAATTAATGTTAATTTAGGTGACAATTTTATGATATAAAATGATAGATTCATTTAAATATAACGTCACCTGACTAATTTAATTCAACTTATCAAGCATGATTATCTCGGATTGTGTTGATTTAGATGATTTTATATACATAAGGATCTCCATACACTCAGTTCCACACTCATGAGCACATACCCTTGTGTACATAAAATTATGTACACCAAACTTTATCCAACTATCGTACTCTAATAGTGGTGCTAGATAGTAGTATTTTTAAATTAAAAGTAAATGTAGTAGACAGATCATAACTGACTGATGGTTTTGAATTTAAGTACGTTTAAAATAATAATAATAATAATAATCAGAGATGGTAAAATTTTAATCACTTTTTAAATAAACTATTAAAGGTACCAATAAAAACGAGTACTAAAGTGTCATTTTTTATATTAATATGAAATTGAACTCGACTGTAGTACGGATTGAGTTTTAACTCTTGTTGAAATTAATTGATCGAAGTGGCACACACATTTATTATATATATATATATATATATATATATATATATATATATATATAGTCTCTATCCAATGAGGATGAACTAGTACAAAAATTAAAAATCTAGACAAATTTACAGAGTATATTTGTCAAAGTTAGACAATTGCATATGAAATTTTCCCCTCAAAATTATAATACTCAGTCCTCATCTTATCATAATGATCAAAATATGCTAAATATTATTATTTACACATTTCATGGGATGCAACTACAATTCATCTCAATATTCCTTGTAAATCATGCACGAATTTGCCAAACAGAGACTAAGCTTTTGAAATGTTCACCTTTTAAGTTTATACGAACATAGATCTAAAGAGTTAATTAATTCTATTAGAAGTGCTTATAAAAGTGCTATTAGAGTATACAACATTTCTGGACGTTGCAAACATCGTAACTTCTGAAACCGATAAAAGGTTGTTACATAAAAACCAAGCATCGATTTTGGAGAGTCACATTTAAAGTTGGTTGGTTTTGTAATCTATTCAAGTTGGTTGGTTTTGTAATCTATTCTTCTCTGATTTAGGTGGGTGGCTACATTAAGTACTAACACCTCAGTTTCTTATAAGCGCAACACATTTTAATTACATTAAGGATCCTTAACATTTATTTATTGTAAAATGTATGTCTCGACTTTATTCTATAGCATTTTTATCTCCAACGCAACCTTCTATTAATTATATATATATATATATTTGCCCATCATATTATTTTTAAATAATAATAAAAAGTGCAACTAAATATTTACCTCTTATTTGTAGAAGGCTAGCAAATTATTTTCCCGAATACCATCTTTGATATTATGCCCCTGTTTGAGCCACATTTTTACCTCATTAAAACGAAAAATATGACCGTAATCCATCACATCAAGCCACTATTTTTGAATTTCTATATCTGATGTGGGGCCCATAACGGCTCTATTTCTCATTCTCATTATATTACAATGTAAGGTTGAGGAAAAAATTCCGATAAAAATAGATTAAAAAACTATAAATGTAATTGAAATATAATGTATTTTTAAAAAACGTGACATGTGAAAAACAAGTTTTAAAAATCAAATCATGCTACGTGTACAACCTAATAAAACCATCTTAATCCATTAAATCTAGCCCAAAGTACATGTATTATTGTCCTGTAATACATGCACATTAATAGCAGACTTCAAAACCACAAGAGGAGGAGAACAAAACCCTAACTAGGAAGAGCTAATTGGCACGAGTTGAGATTTGCTATCCAATTTATTGTCCATCCAATTAATTATTGCCACGTTATTCTTAAATTAACTTATCATTTCAAATTTACCCTCATTAATTTTAACACTAACCCACCACATCGATGACATGTTAATTTAAAATGAGGTGTTAATAATTAATTGGTGAACTGCAAATTATATAGCAAAAGTTGAACATTAAATTACCTATCAATTCACTCAACCTCCAACTTGAACATAACTTGGGAACACGTGATTCGTTTACAACTATCATAATCCTCATGTTACACAAGACTTGTGTATCTCACAACTCTTCCTAGGTTCCTACCACGGTTAGATCCATTTGACATGACTTCTAAAAAATTAAAAATTACATCTGCAACTAAAAAATTACTTTAAAGATGTTTGCATAATTTCAGTTTTGCTAGAGGTATATGATTTTTACACAGAATTTGGTACAAGTACACGTGTCGAAGCATCATTCAAGGATGGAAAAAAAAAAAAAAAAAAAAAAAAAAAAAAAAGAGCAGACGGACAAGATGCTACTGTGGGGAATAACTCGGGTAATTTTTTGAAAGTGCTTTTTTTTTTTTTTCTTTTGCCTAAAAGAGCTTTTCGAGAAAAGTGGTCTGAGGTAGCTTTCTCCTCTTCTATAAGAAGTAAAAACAAAAGCAAAAACGTTGCCAATAGACAATTAAAGATTGTTGTCTTCCTCAATGTATTTTGGGCCTCATTCAATAGGGAGAACTGACTTTCTATTAAATTATGTTGTGAATGGACGTAACTTTTACATTGAAAGAGAACCAACAAGAAAGTGTTTCTATACATTCAGATACTCAAATAGACTGAAATGCACAATCCAAAACCAAGATGGAATTTGGAGCCAACACAGAATCCAAATGATACACAAAGTTAAATATGGATTATCTTCAATGAAAAGAATGCCCACTGCATAACCTCACAACTTAAATTTCCAAAAAATTAAGATTTAGTTTACAAACATGAAATTGGAAGGGAAAAGATTTTCGAAGAATAAATTTATGGTGCAGGTTAAATAAACAAATTTACAAACTAAAAGATTATATACAGGTTTCTTCTATATCTGAAGCGTCATGGAACATGGCATTAATCAGGTTAGAGGAATTGCCAGTCGTCTTCTTGAGCACAATCCTCTGAATCGCCAGTGGGAAAATAATCTTGACTACCAGCATTATCCTGCAACTTGCCATCGTGACCGCCTGGCTTTGGAGAGCTTCTGGTCTCGGTTATTGTAAATAATGGAGCACCATTCGATTGACTGATTAGCTCTGATGTGCGTAAACAAAAATCATCGAAATCATCTGTTGCAAAAGTAATGAGTGAAAATTATTGAAATAAACCACAGCGAATGGAGGAGGAAAGTGATTTACTTTTGTCCCTGCAGTAAAATCCAATCGCCAAGGATGGGTCGACTGAATCCAGAGGCATGTGCCGCACAACACTGGAAGCACGATCCAATAACATTATATAAAAAAGATGCCCATGAAAAGCATTTAAACATAGAATGAAAAGGGAAAAGAAAAATGGTACATCAATCAGAGATGATTTGAGAAAATTTGATCTAAGCATCAACTTACTTGCAATGATAAGACGAAGTATCAATGTCTACATTATCCAGTTTAATATTGAGAACCTGTTGATCAATCAAATTATAAGAATTGGTCCTATTTGTAGGTCATCATACCCAAGGATTCCACAAATGAAAGAGGTACAAAATATTGCAAAAAACACCATGACTAGAAAGCAGACATCTTATATTAAAGGTACATAGTTACAATGGGACAAAAAGATTAAAAAACTTAATTTCAGAAAGGCTTACAAGAACCATGTGACAAGGAGTGTGAGAGCTGATTGAAGCTATGGATAAAGTTGCTAATTCTATTTTCTAATCGAACTCTCAGGGCCCATTTGGCATGGCTTTCAAAAAGAAAAGATAGTTTCAGAAAGTTAGGAGCTAATTTTGAACTTGTTTTAATAATTTTCCAAAAGTGTTTTGTCCAGTTAGAAGAGATTTTAGAAGAAGCTGTCCTAAGGTAGCTTCCACGTGAAGCTCTTTTATAAGAAACAAAAGCAAAATCAAAAGTCCTGCCAAATGGGTCCTTAGTTTTGCAGCAGAAACCATTTTCCAAATATCTAGCTTATCAAGTGTGTTGGAACCCCATATCTAAACAAGTCAAATAAGTTGAATTGTGATCAGAAGCCACCAGAGTAGCCAGTGAGATTCATGCTAATTCACACACAGGTCTAACCAATCAATCCATTTTTCTCAGTAACAGGTACATCCGTCCTCCCTCCTTCTGGTCATTCTAAAAGAAATAACAGCTTATGTTCGAAAGTTCAAACATTTGGTTTTTCTCATCAAACACCAAATCTTCAGTTAACAATGATCCGGGAAATAGTGAAGATCTATTCTTCTAGGTATTCAGTGAGACAAAACCATTATGGTTTTTCATATATGATTCATGGAAAGTTAAAGCATAAGATATGCAAGAAGAATTGCAATTCTAGAGCTCCCCAAGTATAATCAAACATGGGATGATTTTAAAACTTGAAATAGTGAATTCTACAAGCAAAGCAAGAAAATACCAGAGCTAAAACCCCCATCTCCAAAATCTAAGGTCAGTATAATTCCTTCCAACAGAAAGTGGTGCAAATTAACATGGCTAGTAAAGACTTGCCGACATAAGCAAAACCGAATAAGTAGACATAATTATAAATTCTGTTGTCGGCATCTACAGAAGAGGACCTCAATGTAGATAAAGGAAAGTTGAAAACTATCCCCAATGAACACAGTCAAACGTTGAGCTTTTTTGGGCCAAAATGTTTTATTATACATGGTCTTCACCGATAATCATTATATTACTTATATGGAAAGTTTGCGAAAGCATGTTCTCCAACAACAACAAACTAAGCCTTATTCCTGACACAATGTTCTACAAATGATATATTAACTTTCAAACAAGTACAAAAAAACCCAGTGTAAGCAAAACTTCCAACTTGGTCCTTTTTTAGATAGAGGCAGCACCCATTGCACAATGAAAATGTAAAAATGAGAAGTCAGAAGCACCATATTCTGGCCTAGGCATAAGCCTCTCTAGCATTTTCATAATTTCTATGTCATCCAGTAGTGATGTAGGTACCAACAATTGAAAATTTTAAATAAGAACATCACAAACTATTCTTTATAAGATTATGCTGTGAGACTTCTACAAGAGGAATTGCATGCACCTGCTGAACTTCATGTGGATCAAGATAAAATGCTTTCTCATCTTGCACCCCAACTATGTATGTTGAAGCACCAGGTCTGCCACCCAAAAGACCAAGGCTTTGCGGAAATGCGAATGTTGCACTCAATAGAGGAAGATACCTGAGGAAATTTTATTATATTCAGAAACATTAAAGGAATATTATCGTTATATACCCAAGTACAAATTTGATCTCTAGTAAATGTATGCCATGCACGTATATACTCGTAGAGTGAACAGACTGTGATTAACAAAAACCCACGGAACCTGAAGAATATATTCCTCAACAGTATACTAGTTGATTGATATCTCTAGATTTATTGGTGTCTTTCCTGATTTAGTCCCAAATACCGACCTCATTTCACATTCTTCAGTTATTACTGGATTAATAGTCAACAAACACCAAAGCACACTCTTTCCAATTTATTTATTTTTTCCCTCAAAATCAAAAGCGCCCTTTCTCAGTACCCCCATTTATAAAACCCATATAAATATCCTATTTAGTTAACCTAAGCTGAAACTACATAGACAAGAATTACCCTCCCCCACTCAAACTGCAATTTTCTTAATTTGTAGATTTAGTGGAGACAAAGGTACCAGAACCATATTACTAAATTCCTCTACACAACATGGTTAACATGGCCATGCAATTATTGGAAGAATCCAAACACTAAAGTTGTGGGCCATGATATGCTTCAACTATATCTTTTTTCTTAATATCTTTGAGTGGGATTCACTTCAACCATGAATGAGATTTGCTTTTTGCCTCAAACTATGCATTTCTCTATACACCTTAACTTGCTACTTGGGCTATGCATTTTGTTTCCATGCTAGAACTAGAATAAAGTATCATTATAGATGACTGCAATTCACGAAAGGCTTTAGACACACACACACACATATGCAATCGCTTAGGCCTTGTTTGATAGGGCAAATTTTCCATGGAAGATGGAAATTATCCCACCATTTTCCACTTTTTAGCCTGTTTAATAGGAAATATTTTCTTGGCAATTGCTTTTCTCATTTTCGGTCACTTGACCCTTATCCCACGAAAAATGAGGAATTGAAATTCTCATAGGTGAAGTGGTTTTTTGTTTTCTTGGCAATTGAAACAAACCCACATTCCCTTTCTCTTTCTTCTCACGCCAAACCCTATTGTTTCCCTTTCTTGTTGTTTTCACGCCACTTCCCCAGTCCCATTTCTCACCCTCTCCGCCCCATTTCCAGAATAACAATAACATCGACCAAAAAAATCTCCACATAACCCTATCATTGAAGGGGAAAATTTAAACATTTTTTAGGTGGAAAATAATGTCAACCAAACACAATTAATTGACAATTTCTAATAAAACAAGTTCTAGACAATTCAATTTCCTGAAATTCGTTTTCTTTCTACCCAAATTCTGTTATTGTAATCAAAAGGATCCTTAATGAATGTCTTAAGCCATGGTGATGCAAGTTCAGAGCAAGAGAGTAGCAATTCCAGAAAATCAATATCTAATTGTAAAAGTAAAAGCATGCACCAACATGACGGGTCAAGTGTTTGCCCACCTCACGAAACATGCTAGTAAGGATTACGCATTAGAAAGTAATTTTCGGCAAGTGGAGAGGATTTAAATGGGTCACGCCAAACTAATAAAAGTAATTGCATGAATTTACTGAAAAATTGTTCACAATTCACTTTCAAGTTCTTTGGTTTTAATTTTGTAGGTTCATTGATGCCAATGAAAATGAATGTTTAGCTTTCCTAATAACACTTATGCATTGAGATATGTTTTGCTAATTTGTCCACTCTGAGCATGTTTGGATAAACATATTGGTTATATTCTAAAGTCTTAATATGTTAGACGAATTATGAAGGTGAAAATGGACTTCACATGCATAGATGGTATTCCACATCCTTCATTTATTAGCTTGATTTTATAACAGCTGTGATATAGACATTTGAAGAATTCAGATTACTGTTATTTTTTATTTTTTTTCCAAATCTTGGACATTAATTGGATTTTATGGTAATTTTGATTGGGCACCTCTAAACTGACAACTGAGCAAGCACGAACACAGTTAACTTTGAAATTCTACAAGAAGTGGAAGAACTAGAATTTTAACTATAAGGTACTTCCAAACCCACAGGCTCAAATATAAAAACATACCTTGGGTTGATTTTGTCCAGTCCTAAAACCAATGGAACTAACAAGAGGATAGGAGTCCAATCGGCTTGGCCTCTAGAAAACTCAAAAATGTTTTGTGAAATATCATCAACGCAAAGAACAGGAGCTCCACCTCTTTCCCCATCTTCATCACCAGAAACCACATGTATAGCCATAAGATTAGACAACTCTCCATATTCAGTCCCATCCCTCTTACTACGGAGCAAAATTTCCCAGGTGCGGCACATGGCATATGGGCCTACCCATGATCCCGGAGCAAGGCCATAAGCTTTTCCAGCTTGGAGAAGATTGTGGATAGAGTACGGTGAGTCCTCAGAATCCCCAAAAAGATGCAATATTTCGATATAACTTTGATCGAGTGGCTGCGAAATTAGAATTACACCAATATGACAACATGAACATATACAAGACAAACTGGAGATGGCTGAAATGATCGTGTCATCAAATTTTTGCTACATGTCAATCAAATTCTCCATGAACAAAAATTACCTTATGCAGAGATTTCCTCCAAGATCTTCCTAATCTATGAATGAGGAATGCCTGTGCACAAGGATAATAAATTGTACACTTATTATGAAGGTTGATATGGATAGTATTCATAACAAAGCTAAAGAAGAGGATAGAGTGAAATGCCTGAGCAACAAGCATCTGACTGCTTCGAATCATGCAACCCCAATTGACATCAGTAGTATACTTCAAATCTCCAATAGGTAAAAACCCTACAGATTTACCAAAAGAAATACAACCCCATTATTTTCATTATCATTCATCAATACACAAATTGACTCCAAGTACTATAGTGACATAGTCTATAGAATTACCTTTCCTGTATGTGATCAAAATCCGCGATGCAAAATCATCAACAAAAGCAGCAAAACCCTCGCTCTCAGTCGGATCAGAACACGAAGAATTCACATTATCATCATCTTGAGCAACTTGATAGCAAACACCCAAAAGCCAAATGTCGCTCTTGGACCCGGTAATCCCGGTCCTACCGAATCCCAATATTCTCCTCATTGATCCAGCATTCAGAAACACCCTCCTCACTGCTGCTGTCCACCCCTCATAAAAGTTTCTCCACTTGTGACTTCTTTCTTTTAGAACTACTGCTACTATCTTTCACCCAAATTTTGAAAAATTTGTTTGCAAGATTCCTGAACTAATGGACTTTGGATGCTTATTATTGGTCCTGGCTCGGATGAGACAGAACCCGGAATTATATTTTATTGGAAACAATATTTCTCCCTCAAGAACCCTTTATTAACCTATTCGTAAAGACCAGGGATCAAATAATTGCGCACAAGAACAGGACACCAAAACATTCAATTTCAGAACAAGATAACGAAATTTCAGTGAACTATAATATTTGTTCGTTTTGCTGGTGTTGTAGTTAATTTGTGCGTGTATATTAGTGTCGGCAAATTAAGATTAGCGAATGAAAACAAAGAGAGAGAGGGATTACGTGGCATACCGGAGATCCTAATATTGTCGAAAAAGAACAAAAATTGGTTTGGTGAAGCGTCTGTCCGACAATAAATATTAGGTTCCACGTTTGTCTCGTGGTTCTTCATCTTGGTGTAAATTACACAGATTTATCTCATGATGACATAAGACATTCTATTTTTTAAAATATCAATAAATTAATGTGGAAATGTGATTTTTTTTTATTATTAATATTGTGCTAGTTTCATTACTAATTTGTAGCAAATTAATTTAGAAATAAATATGTAAATGGATTAATTGCGTGGCAAATATTTAAATCCATTAAAATAGTAACATTAATTTTTTTCATTACGGTTAAAAACTACTCATTTTCACTTGTTTTTAGCTGAATTATAAAGTAACATAAAATCAAATATCAAGTTAGATTAATTCTTTAAAAACAAAAAATATTTCAATAATAATCTACTAATAAAGATTGCACGGTATGCTTATATTAGAGTTTGACTAAATAAACTGTTTAAGATTCTTTCCGTGGAACGTACAAATATTATTCACTTATTCACCACCAATTTTTATTAATTTATGATTTAAATTGTTTATAAACACGTTCCAAATATGCAATTACAACTTGTTTTTTTGTTCAACATTTTAGCCATCTAGTGATACTAATTCATTCGAAACGAGTTAGAATTCACTAAGATATAGATCATTTATTGGAGTCTGTAAGCAAAAGAGTTCGTTGAAAATCACACATTATATTCGGTTTGGCCCCCATTTTTTAGAAATGAAAATGGGTGGAATAGTTTTTTTTTTTTTTTATGATTGAAATTTTTTTTTTTTTTTTTTTTTTTTTTTTTTTTTTTTTTTTTTTTTTTTTTTTTTTTTTTTTTTTTTTAAATGAGGGGTTGAGAAAGAAGGAAAAATTTTCGATTTACATGCAATATTATTTTATGGAAGATTGTATGGTTGAAAATTGGAAAGAGAAAAATGAAATGTAATAAAATTTAATTTAATGAGTACCAAACGGGGGCTAAACTATATCTCTCGAAATCGATATATGTGTTACGCTACAACTATAAATTTTGGTGCTCTTTAAGCTGATCTAAGTGTAAGACAATTATAAGTTGGAAATCGTTCAAAAAAAAATAAAAATTGTAGGTTTGAAATTTAAGTATCATGAAAAATTCAAGGAGAAATCAATTATTAATTTACCATGGAGGAAACATTTCAAGAGTTTTCAATTTTAATTGATTTAATTTGTATTACTCCCATTTTTTCTCTTTTCCAAAGCTAAATAATTAGCTGAGAATTTGGAAAACAAGAAAAAGGTGCAATTTTTTCCAATTATGAAGCTGCTAATTATTTGCAAGGAAATCCAAAACAAATATATATATTAATTATTAACAACACACTTTCACATTTGAACATGTATAATAGCTCAACATCTCAGTAGCTAGTCTTGAATGGCCTGTAAACCTTAAGATCAAGCACCACACCAGCAATGGAACCAGCAGCTGCTGCAACTGAAATTATTAAACAAGCAATACTCAGCATTTGCAGGCAAATCCATCTTGTACTCCATTTTTCTATCTTCTTCTGTGCAATATACATTTCTATTGGAAAATACACAGTCAATGGCCAGAATCCAAATGCTCCAAGAATTCCCACAACATCATTGAAGAAAGGCAAAAGCATTGATATAACAGTGGTTAGAATTACGAATCCACTTCTCCAGGCTAATCGAAAGAGGTTAAGATCATATGGCTGGCAAAATGGAACTGGGATTTTGACATCTTTGGTTATGAGTTTGTTTTCTGGCCATTTTTCTGATGCATACTTTTCGATGAAGGCGAAAAGTGGCTGGCAGTAAACTTGGTAGGCTCCGACTAAATGGATTACAATGGCCGCGTTTGCTATGTCAAGAAGCCAGTACGGGTTGTAGAATCCGAATCCCGTAAGGAGGTTACCAGGGGAAAGATCTCCGAATGCTGCATAGCCCATGCAGCCACACAGCATGTAGAAGAGTGTTGTTACAGCAATGCTTATTAGTGTGGCTTTCTTCATTGTTTTTGCTTCTGATGGTGGGGACTTAACTGTATCCTGTTTATTTACACAACCAAGAATGTGAGCGCACGTCATGTGAATTAGATTGTACAGTATTGGACAGTATTATACATATATACCTGAATTTCGATGAGAATGATTGAAAATGAGTATGCGAAAGCAATGTCCCCAAGAGCTTGGAAACTCCTCCATATCTTTTGTGTTTGAGTCACAGTTCCAATGCTTATTCCAGTGAAACTACCTCCTATGGTTCCATTAGCTGTGGTATAAAATTAATATAACCATGTTTAGTAATTAATCGAATTTTTTTTTTTTTTTTTCGAATCACTGAATTATGCCAAATTGAACATTAGGGACCTGCAACTTTGGCAACTCCAAGGCCTAATCCGATGGAAGAATAGGTGAAGGACATGATAGCAGCAACAATTGAGAGCCACCATATTTGATCAAAATTAGGAATCTGAGAGAATAGGATTTGTGTTATCCCAAAAGCAATCATATATGGATAGCTAGACATGTGACATGGATTTTTCCCTCCACTTTTATGGAAACAATTGGATCTTTTGATAGCCCTGTTCATTGCAATGGCCATAACAAATTAAAATCAAAAGCTACAATAGATTATATATAAAGCAGCTTGCAAGAATTATACTTACATCATACTTATAGATGCTGCAATTGTATATCCAATGGCCACTCCAAAGATATTCATATACTGAACTAGGCCACAGAACTTTACTTTAGATCCACCTGATAAAGAAAAGTGAACATGATTTTAAGAAAACTACAAATGTCTTGCTGATGAATTTTCTAGGTTTAGTAGTGTACCAAGATTGGATCGAACAGCATCCATATAAGTATAGTTTCTCTTGCCAAATAAGGGATCCCCAGATCGATAACAATCAGCAAGGAGAGTTGAGGTGTAATAAATCACAATGGCGAACAAGAACATCACAGTTGGACCAGCAATCCATCCTAACTGAGCTATAGCCCACGCCAAGGAAAGCACTCCTGATCCAATCACCGCAGTTATTATGTGCGCACTGGCAGTCCAAACAGTCCCTACAAAGAGAGAGAAATATTAGGAGAGTTAAAATAGTATTCCACTTTGATCGCTTATGAGAGGGGATGTTGTGGGACATGTACCGGTTCTTTGAGGTCGACCATCATCATCGATACCCTTGGAGCTAAAATGTGGTGGCACATCGACAGAAATGTCAAATATTTGACCGCGCTGGTGGTGGTTGTAGGTGGCAGCACTCTCTCCCATCTTGTATTTTCAAAGAAGCCAAAAGGACGCACTTCTATCAGTTAATGAGTTTGAGTTTTGTACCTTCTTGCTGCAGATTTTTTTGACAGCAAAAAACACTAAAACTATGTGGAAAGAGCTTGCAAGAACAATCAATAGAAGAATAAATTTTATCTCTATAAATTACCACAGGAAGTATACATCAAAAAGACTAGTTACTGCTTACTTCTAGACCATAAAATCTACTCCTAAACAGGATTGCAATGGCTAAATCAAAGATGCATCATGCATAGGGTGAAGGTTTAAGGGTGGCATATATAACAGTTTGGGACGAATTTCGAGCAACTGAAAAGGGAAAGGCACGTGAAACAAGGTCCCAATGAAAGGGAAGGGTCATTTGTCTGAAACAGCTTTCACACATTCGACCAAAACGATGAAGAAAATTCGCCAATGTCTCCCCCCACCCCAAAAAAAAAAAAAAATGCAGGTACAAGACTAACCTACACGCAGACTATATTTGCCTACTGACATAGTAACGAACTCACAATGAAGACACGACATTTTCAACATGGACAATTAGGCCATTGTACACATGCATGATGCAAGAGTCAAACGGAGTTTGGCCACATGCACAAAAAAGAGCTGAAATTATACCTGAATTACTATTTTGCAAATTTCTGCCCTCTATCCCCTCAAACAGAGGAATGAAACTATATACAAAGAGGGTGTTATTTGATACAATGTGATCGGACAGGATTAAGAAGCAACTGCTGCACTCTTTTTCATTGTTTTTCTGAGGCTTATATAGAGGGAAAATGGGCTTCAAATCACTCCTCAAAAGTAATAAAATCTTATTAAATCTCAAGTAAAGTATACTTTTATATTGCCTTTAAACGTGTAAGCCTCCCGTCCATCGTTATTGATAGAGTATTGATGCTTCTGAGCCATACCTTTGATTATTAATGAATCTTTATACATCTGCTTACGAAGTCCATCCCAATAACATCGGCGAGCATATTTGGTACGCAGTACTATACACTAGGCGGCATTTTTTGATTCATACTGATACTGTTCTCGATTTCTTCAGAAAGTATTTGATTGTTTACATATAAACCAGTGATTCTTGATTTGAAGTTATTACTTTTAGCATTGAGGAAGGTCCACATTGATTCTGATAGTACATTAGGGTTGTATCTTCTTGCAAGATTTAACCAATTGTTATTGTTCAGTTGTTGAATTGGAAGTTCACAATTTAAATTTGCATGTGGGCAGGTTAATAGAGGACAGCCAAATAATTTCGAAGGAATATTTAGGTTATGCTACATGAACGACCCACCACTCAGGAAGTCAAACGCCTTAAAGAACCCACTTTCAGTGGTAGTTCTTTCACTCGGCTGTACCCAATTAGACCTGCAATCAGAGGTACCAACTTTCAATGATGTAGATTCCTAACCAGCTCAAATTATGATATGTTTCAACTTATGCAATGAACTGCTGCAATATATTTTGGATGCGTATGCTTGAATGGTTGAATATGATTATTCAGTGGATGTCGTTAGTTAATCATAATGCATACTCAAGATGGAGAGATGAAATGCGTGAAGACCAAAAATAACATCAATGATGAAAGCACTCTATTGGGCTGATACTAATACTGAGAGACGAAAACTAGGGGAACGAAGTCAGAATACGAGGGTACTCATCTTGTGGTGGGCTACGACTTAGATGCTTTCAACGGTTATATGTACTTGACTACCCAGTTTATAGACTATAAATAACAACAAAAAATACGAGCATACTTGCGAAACCGAGAGATAAATCTTTAAATATAAAAAGAAAGGACTAAAACACCAGTATCATTAGCATAAGACAGTATAATACCTCAATAAGTGGACTAAAATAATATCTATATGCCTTTTTCAACTTTAGCCACACACGCAGAGTCAATGGTGTATCATTTTGTTCACATTTTATAAACAAAGGTGATTCCTTTAACCTCCCACTATTCAATTTGCACAAACTACACTAAACAATACAAACACACTTAGAATATAACAACATAAATTCAACTCTTGCAAAGTTTTCAGCCTCAAAGAGTAAATAATGATTATAAGAGCCATTAGTTGGAGTATAACCTATCATTACTCAGTCTTGGGGCTTAATAAAATAAAAGACAGATATTGAAGAAGAAAGACTTGTAGATATCTCTTGTATATGATTTTTTTTCCGACATTCCTTCATAACCACTCTTTGGTCTTTCCTTCCTCAACCACCCAACATAAAGCAAAAGCAAAAATAAGAACGCAAAGTAATAAGTTTTTCTGTTCATAATTGTAGACATAAAAAATAATAATAATAATAAATAAAAATAATAAAATAAAATAAAATGGATTGGGTCGATTTAAATCATTAACCCAATTAAATTTTAAGTCTCCTAAAATCCATAAACCCAAAAATCCATATCAAATTTTAAATAAACAAATAAATAAAATCATAATTACTCAATTATTCATTTTAATTAAACTAGTTTTCCACCCGTACAATGCACGGGCTATGTTATTTTTAGGTAATATTATCGTGTCAAAATATCTATTTATTTCTCTTAATAAATCTACAAATTTGATTACTTGATGTGTAAAGGAATGAAGAATATATATATATATATATATATATATAAAGATGTTGCGTAAAAAAATAGAGAAAAGTAGAAAAAATAGTATAATAATTTATAACCCATATAAATTATAAAGTGACAATAATTTTATTAGAAATTTTTACGTCCAAAAAGAAAAATAATTGACGTCATATACATAAAAAAAATTTAAAGAAAATTATGTAAATTATATTGAGAAAATTATCGCGATAAAATAATAAACATGAATAAAATAATTGATTTTTTTAAAGAAAAAGACGAGTTATACGCATTTTTTAACACAAACGTTTGATGTACGTTTAACTTTTTTCGATATTCATTTAAATTATTCGATATATCTATAATATAGTTTTCGAAATGAATTTCAAGAGAACATAGAAAATTTATGGTACATTTTTATAAAAAAACTAAATAAATCAGCACATGCTCCGTGACACGGAGCAAAACATAGCAACTCCGTGCATGGAGCAATTTGTTCCTGGAATTTAAAGATGGCAAAAAAATATGCTCAACTCGATATCCGTGGGGCCCCGTCTCGAATGGGTAAGGGAATACCCGTCTAACCAGGTGTGTGGGACGGGTATGGGATGAGAGTCATTGCCCCGAAGCGAGTATGGAATGGGTACGGGAAATATAGTCCCCGTCCCATTTAATATTAATTTCAAATATATATTTATATCAAACAAAAATAATTGATTTATTATCATTTTTAAAGAGAACATGAGTTGTTTTTAACAAATTGGGGAAAAAGTAATAATATTTATTAACTAAGGATATAAAAAAATAAAAGCCAAAAATAAAAAAAGAAAAATTAAATGGGACAATAAATGGGGTATGAGACTTGCCCCGCTCCGACCTACCTCGTCTCGCTCCCGACCCGTCCCCGACTTAAAAGGGTATGGGGCGGGTATGGGACATGAAAATATCTAGTGGGGCAGGGTGGGAAAGGGTGCCCGACCTATATCCGCCCCGTTGCCATAACTACTAGAATTGTTCCTGCCACCCAGGAGCAACTCTTGGGTGCCAGAAGCAAATTTGCTCCGTGTGAACACAGAGGTACCGCAATAATTTTTTTTTCGTTGATATATTTTTTTTTATATGAATCTATTTCGTAATAAGCTTTTAAATTTTTTTTAATGTCAAAAGAGACATCATTTAAAAAATTAAAAATTTCGTTAACAAGCTAACTTTAAAAATTTATTGACTATTGTACGATAGTTGAATGCATAAATATTATATATTCTCTCGAAACTCATTTTGAGAACTATATTATAGACATATCGAATGATCTAAATAAATATCGAAAATATTTAAATATATAACAAATGTATGTATTAAAAAATGCGTATAACTCGTCTTTTTTATTAAAAAAAAATCAATTCTTTTATTAATGATTATTATATTTTAGCGATTTACATATTTACAATTTATTTGCAGTTTAATTTCATACTTAGTAGATTTTTCAGTTTGTTTTGTTATATGTGCTTCATATAATTTTACAGTTTATTATATGTATGTCAGAAAATTTTTTGAAGAAAATTAATTAATTTGATAACATTCGGTTTGGTAGTTGTCCAACCGATATTTATTTAACTAATATATGCAAATATGGTATTTTTCCTTTTGGTGTATGTAAGTGCATATTCGGTATGTTAGTTGCATATATGGTATCTAGCAAATATGTATAAAATCACTCACTATATATGAAATGGGTAAAAAACAGTTTGTGCTAATTCTGTGCAAATACGGTGAGCGTTCTGTATATACGGTAAGCTGCAAATACGATAAGTTGCAAATATGATAAGTTGTCTGCAAATACGGTAGGCCGTAAATACGGTAAACTGTATATACGGTAAGCTACTTGCAAATACGGTAAGCTGCATATACAACATGTTTAAAACCAGTATCTAAACTACATATACGGTATACGATAATTCAATTTTATTAACACCACAATATTCCAATAATAAGTAGCTTTTGCAATTATAAGAGAATGAGTGATTAATATTTTTTTACTTATAAGTAGCTTTTACAATTATAAGTTTTTTATTACTTTTAAATAAATCGAAGTGCTTTTTTTACTTATAAGTAACTTTTTACATTCTAGATAGTGTAATTCTTTTATTAATATTTAATTTAAACTCTAAATATTTACTTAAAAATGTTGAGGTTAATATTTTTTTATCTATAAGTAACTTTTACAATTATAAGATTTTTTATTACTTTTAAATAACTTAAAGTGATTTTTTTACTTATAATTAACTTTTTATATTTTATAAATAAAGAATAACTTTTATGTAAAAAATTATTTAAAAAAATATTATTACTAATGAAATTATAGGATATGGTAGTTGCTAGCGTGAGAAAATGGAGAAAAAGTACTGTGTGGCAGATTCAAAGCATGTAAGTTGTAGGTAAAATAGAAAACGACGTCGTTTTTGGAGACCAATTAAAATTAAAAAAAAAAAAACCTACAGTGTGACAAAATATTATTTAAAAATATATTACTACTAATAAAATAAGGAGGGACTATGAAAAAAATATTTTGTATTCAAAAGTCAAAACCAGTTTAGGAACAGTTAACTCAGCCAAGTGTGAAAATGAGGGTTACAAGAATGAATAGTAAATTTCAAAGCGGCTCTTATAAGAGAAGGTAGAATATAATTGAGTATTACCAAAATTAGCACGAATTTTCCCCTATAAATAGGACCAATGGTCGTTAAGACCAGTAGAAAAATGAAGAGGAAGAAGAGGTGAAAGCTGAAGTAAGAAAGAAAGCAGAGAGTGCTCAAGAAATTCTAAGGTCGAAAAAAGGGAAGAAATTCTCTCAAATCCAAACCCGGTGAACCCCAAGAAGATTAAAATCTTTTTCGAATCAAACAGGTTCACGCCAAGTCCAAGTCTCAAGATTCAAGTTCCGAACAAATCAACTTTCGACAAATCAAATTTTCAACAAATTCTCGAAGATCAGGATTCAAGACACGTGGCCCCTCGTCTTCAAATATTCAGATAATTAATCAAAGGATTTTTGCAATTTTGCAATTATAAAAAGGTCAACATCACTTGTATTTGTCAAAGTACAATTTTTAACGATTTCTGTATTTTAATACATGAGATTTCGTCATACAATAATACTTCTCCTGCTTTTCTTATGCAATACATTCACCAAGAAAAGGAGACTAAATCCCACTTGCATTACCAGCCAAATAGTTATGGTACACATATACGAGGGAACAGATCTGGCTTTTTTTCCCTCATTTAGTGACTGTAATTGTTTCTAATTTTCGGCTTGATTAGTGGGTTTATACCTAGACAACCTTGAAGGAATTATCCTCGTTGCGAATGGAAGAACACAAAAAGAGGAGTCAAATATTAGTTCCATAAATAAAATCACACTGGATGTCAGTTTTTAAAAGATGGGTGGTGTCGAATATAATTAATTCTAATTGTATCCCATATATCTAAGCTAAAACTAGTTTTGTTGGTTTATATTACTTTAACACCTCCCTTTATAAGTCAATTTTGTAGGGTATGTGTCAATCATTTATCATTTTATATTAAAATATCACCTAAACAGTGAGAAAAAAGTTGAATATATTAATTTAAAATGATATGTCAATCATTTATTGAGCGAATAACAAATTAACAAAATTTTGAACAGCGGATTATAGTTAAGCTATCAAGATTGTTTAGTTCTCGAATGATAATTAAACTCAATTCCCACAAGAATAATGCTATTCGTAATGAAGACTACCAGTGATCGCTCTATGTCGCATATACTTGACAATTTGATCTTTAATACATAGATATGGTAGTTATTTTTTAAATTATACATCAAATGAAAAATTATACATCATTTGCAACAAATTCAGCTCCTGCTTCATGTCCATTATTTGGGATTTTCAATGTTTTGAATAATGAATTTTTTGAGAATGTGTGATTAAAAAATAAGAAAAAAATTAATTTTACGTACAGATTATTTTATTAGACAAATGTGTAATTAAAAATAAGTATATGAAATAAAGAGTTCTGTAATAAAAGAACAGGGCCTAGTGAGCCTGCAACGAACTGCAACCCAACACCAAATTCACAAGGCTGCAAATAGGAAATAATGGAAGAGGCCAACTACAAATAAAGGGGAAAATTCAGATCAAGGGCCGAGTTCGCGCCACCTCGGCCCTGTCCCCGTCCCCTGTCCCTTTAGTGATTCCCATAATGGAATACAAGTTCTAGCATACAGAAACTATACTGCCAACTAAATATTTTCAAATGGCATCTGTATTCCTCCAGAATGTAAAGTTCTCTAAATCACTTCAACTGCTGCCGAAATTGTCATTCACCAAATCCGCAGCATGACAATAACAAGGTCCTCCCACCTAATGTAAACGGCTATTTTGGACTGAGAAGTATCTTACAAAATTTTAATTGTCCAATCATCTGCAATCCGCACATTAGGTTTGCGGATGGTGAGAACGGATGAGCTCCATCCTCCTCGAAGCAGGAGGGGCCCTGGTTCGATATCCACTTTTTCATTAACCGGTTCAATTAAGGCCTTTTTTGGTCCAGGAGAAAATCCTAAAAGTATTATTCTCTCTACAATGCACTCGGAGGCAAATTTCTCAGTGCGAAAACCTGTAGAAGCCAGGTTTGAAGATGTAAGCTTTCCATCAGAGTATGCGAAATGGCGATGAATGTAAGCTCCTTGCAGAAATTCAAAGCTCTTTCCATCGTCAACATAAAGCCACCCTGCTGCCTGGGAACTATTGAGAGCAATAACCTGTAAAGAACAGAAACTTGAATCATTGAATTGCATTTCAACGTTAATACTACTCGTGGTGCATAAATAAATTGTAGAGGATGCTGAATGAAGTGAATTTAGTCCTCTTTTGCAATCATTCGAAGTTATAAAAATAAACACGATATCAACAATCCCTTGACCCAAAGAACGAAAGTATTAAGAAATTCATTCAACAAATTCCTCATCATTTGCTGATATCACTGCGTAATCTATAGTTCCAAAGAAAATTATTTATCAGTGCCTTTTCTTCTTCAAAGAGCTTCAAAATAATAACAGTAAAGCTCAAGAGTACATGACACAGGCAGCAAAGTCTCAGGGATAAAGATGTCATTACATTGGGGTACAGCATTTTCACGCCACAAAAGGATTTATCTAAACAAGACATAAGTGGCAATAAAAAACCATTCTTTTGCAGATGTCACGTTAGTAGCAAGGAAAACCATTCTATAACTTTGAAAGTAAGAATATTGGAACTCCTTTTCGTGACACATTTAGCTCTTATCTAGGAGATGATTGCAAGTTTTGGGAGTGATGGGAAAGGAAAATAGCAGCAGAAATATATAAATTGGCTCCACAGTTTTCTTTTAACGATAGCCCCAGACAAATATGAGATAACACTATTGAATTGAGTTGAGTTCTATAATATCTATATAAGGTGTCAAAATAATCAAACACAAATGCTTAATTGGGATGTAACAAACACAAGTGCTCGTATAAACTGGAAGAAGATCATCTGCAAGTGAATTTTCAAATTCTGTGGTCAGAAGAGTAATCATGTGCTTACTACCTAAGTCAAATACAAGTATAGTGGCTAAATTTGTGTAAAAATATAACGCAGGGCAAAATAAGAATAAACCATAAGCTTAATGGTCAGTGATATGAACATTTGTCAAAGATTATGAGAATTTCCACATTGTAGTTTAATGGGAGAAAAATGTATTGAATAGTCTATAGATTGATTCATAGATGAATCTCTCTCCATATATATAGGCACCTTAGCATGTGCACTTGTGTGTGTGCGCATGAGAGTGTGATAGAGAGAAGGGAGGAAGTGGTGTAACCATAAGAATCACTAGGGGTCTACTTTAAGATTTAAAGGCATACCAGAGTGTAAGGATCATTCTCCATTTGTGTGGAGCTCCGCCGAAACCTGTCTTTCCTTGGTACAATTGTACCAGCCCGTTGGAAAGCAGGAACACTATCTTCAGAAGCTTCCAACTTGTGAATCACTCCTCCCCCGTATGCAGTTCCAGTTCTAATGTCGTACCATGATTGATCTCCAGGAAGATATACGGACACATGTTTAGCTTTCTATGAGAAGTTTCCAATTGAATCATTTCATGGTAAAGGAAAGAAGATTAGGGACTATAGAAGGACGTGAAACAATGATACCAAGGGAAAAATAATTACAAGTCTGGTAAGAATGGTACCTCAGTATATATTCCTTGCACCAAGAGACTGTTACCAACCATGAATGCTTCATCATTGCTGAAAGTCTGTTCATCATCTGGAAACTCCATCCATAGTGGACGCACAACAGGAACACCAGTCATGTTTGCCTCTCTAAATAATGTGTAGAAATAAGGAAGAAACATATAGCGTGTATGTATGGATTCCCTCATCAGTTGTGTATTCCGTTCTCTGAAACCAACATAAACCATACAGCAACATATATCAAACACAAGACAGAATGGAATGTGTATAATTTGTAGCTCTGTCACTTGGAAGGGTAAGAAGATAACAAAGGAATAAAGTATATCATCCCAACATCATATTTTTATCATATGAACTGTCACAGAGAATTCAACATTTCATGAATTTTATCAAAAGTTCTCATTATAATTGCAAATAAGATCATTTGATGTAAAACAATTGAAGAAAATATTGACCATGTACACAGACATTTAATATGAACATAATTCCTATGCATGGAAACGAATTTAACTAAATAATGCATTGCTGGTCAGCAAAGAAACAAATTAATCAATAGCCACACAGAGGATGAAAAACAGAAGTATTAATAGAAAATATATACAAGTGATTTGACTGCAGGCATGCCAATATGCACTCATGCAATTCCTTCTGTATTATAGACTGATCAAAAAAATTCTCCTTTCTTCGAATTCTTTCAACCAGTGATCTGAGGTCCTCATTAAAGGTAAATGCTTTCACATTATGCTAGGTGGCTAAGAAGATGGATACTAATGCACTGTATGAACTTTATAAGACCCTATCCCGGATGTCAATGACATGTTCTTGCAAACTGGCAGGAAAATAATGCACGTTGATATCTTTCCATGCATTGCAAATTTGGTACTTCAGGAAATCAATGACCATCATTTACATTTAACTGACTTTTTTATTCACTAAATTCTGGTGTGTGGAGAAATAAGGACTACTAGACTAATTGCACACTTTTATTAGGCTGCCAGGATGAGGTTCAGACAACTTTGCATTTCGCTAAAATAAAGTAATGCTATCTTTATCAACTAAGATTTTAAGGGGATTGTAGACATGGACAATTGATTTCTGTCAGAGTAAGCACTGCTACTCAGGCCCAACTGATTCTACCATAACTTGCCATAGGCAGGCAACAACTCTACCCCAGAAACAGCTTACAACTCCCTTCACACCCCTCCATTTCCCTCATGCAAGACCACAGATTATATTTTCATCAGCAATTATAAGATAAATCTTTGGAGAACGACTTTTGACTTTTGAGTGCATCAATCACATATCGCTATTACCCCCAAAAAATCCACACACATGAATATACATAAAAGAAATCACTAATCTTGAAAGCAAATTTTGCTTTACTATCAAACTAAATGACTTATTCATTTCCAATTTTGACAAGTGTTATTTATTTTAAACTAAGTAAATTTTTTAAGTTTAGCCAAATTTCATAGTAGTTTGGATTTGTGGTGGCTGTTAAGGTTATGATTAAGCTGAAGAAAGGGAAGGATGTAATTGATATTTTTTTGGAGAAGCAGGGAAGTTGTTTCTTAGCAAGCTTTTGAAACCCTGTAATACGGTAAAAAGAAGGAAGAAAGGTTAGAATTTTAAAAGAGTTCATGCGTGGTATTACACATTTTGATGTTTCACTATGAAAACTACCCATTTTCAACATCATGATCTAGCAGAAAGATTAGCTGATATAACCTAAAGAACTTAAAAAAATCGTTATTTCTCCTAATTTCAAATCAGTAAAAGTTTATATGCACTCTTAAATTATCGACATTTTCAATTCAAGCATATTACATCAACCTCATGCACGATTTTGGCTTTAATCCTAACAACTCGAATGCTGAGAGTTGATCTATCACCGATGCAATAATAACTTACATGTACATCTGGGTTGCATGATCCACATAGCCTAAACATGGTTATTTCACAAACCATATAACATAAGGGCTCTAAGATATGAAACAGACAAATATGCAGTAAAAAATCCATTAATATAGATCAACTAAAGAACCATGGAAAAATGCAAATTTTTTACAAGAATGGTGTGGGCATAAAAATACTAGATCTGATGTTTCACGGACAATATTAGAATAATGACTTGGCTATATTACGAACACTACAACAAGATGGGTCTAAGATATGAAACATACAATTATGTACCTAGTGAAACATCAAAACGTGTAATACCACGCAGAATGATTGGGAAATGCAGATTCTTTTATGGGAACATGATGGAGATAAATATTACTAGATCTGATGTAAGACTAAGACAACTTTCACGATAAATAAAATCTGATAGCAGATATTATGAAAATGCATTCAAATGCACAGCAAGTGTAAGCTAATAATATATTATGCCTCAAATAGAACCTATTTCTAAAGGCAGAGCACAATCTCATACCCGAATAACCAAGGTTCCCGTCTTCTAGTGTCCTGATGAGCATGTGCCCTAAAGAAGGGATAATAGGCACCCACTTGATACCAGCGCACCAACAACTCTGTATCAGAATTACCGAAAAATCCACCAACATCCGCACCTGTGGATCAATGTCATCAGAATTTAAAAGGTTGTATATGTAGAGGAAAATGCAAGCAGAGGAAAAACCTCTCCTCCCAATTCTCATGTTCTCCTTTTTTCTCCCTCAGCTGTTCAAAATCAAACAAACCATTTGAGTTCAAAGACAATACTCTTTTCCCATTTTTCCCAGTTTCTCTCGCAAAAACCTCAAAAGGGTCATGCCGAATTACACCCTCATATCCATCAGAAAGATAAACAACGGACAAGATGCCCAACCCATCTTCACTTTTCTCAGTTTTTAACTTCTGTAACCACAGCTTTTTGTTCAAAAACTCTGGCACAATCACATCAGGCACCTGAAATCTCTTCTTGCGCGGGCTCAAACTCTGGTCCTCATCAATCTTGAGCCTCAAAACACCATCTTGATAAGCAGAAATTGTCAGAACCAAAGGCTTAACAATGGGATTTTCTTGATTATGTATATTTTCTTGGACCTTATCATTGGGGACGAGCTTCGCTATAAGATCGCCATCGAAAATCGAGACATCGGTGGCGATTAGAGAGCACGCACCGGGTTTACGGGATCGGGCACGTTTGCAGAATGGGGTCTGATTGCAGTTTCTGAACTCATCTTTTTTCCAAGAAAAAACAGAATTAATGAAAAGGAGGAATAAGAGAAAGTTGTACAGGTTTAATTTCATGATTTTACTGTACTTTGGTGAAATAACAAATCACCGCTCAGCTTAAGTGGAAACCAGTCAAAGAACTGGTAGAGGCCATGAAGATGACACAGTATGACCAGTAAGGAATGAAAGAAATTGGAAGAGACGGAAAAATAGTAATTTGGGCCCTCATTTTATGGATAATATTGAATATAGACCTTAATTCCAATTTCTTAAATATAGCCTTCGGATATTTTTAGGCCTTTTGCACTTTTCTCAAATTTAAGACTTCGCCCTCCTGATTCGCCCATTTTGCATTTGAACACTTTATTTATCGTATTACAATTTTGACCACTCGACTTTAATTCGAATCCATTGAAATCCCACATCTTCAATTTTATCACAATATAATCACTCATTTTGCTTCATATTTTACCCCTCGTCTATCATGACAATTGACAAATTGATGCGCAATGCCTACATGATCATCAAATATAATTATAACTAATTGGTAATCTTTCACCGTCCACCTAACATGCAAGATAATAAATAGTATCAAACCGTAAAAATAAAACAAATCGAATTCAATTTCATTCTACATTTTAATTTCTTCCTCGATTAAGTGAAAGGGTAACTAGGAAATCGAATTTGTATGTTCCTCAAGATGTGACATTTGTAGGCCATACTTAAAAAGAATCATGTTACAAGTACAACAATAGTTGATAACTTCTATTGACGATTAAATCTTTTTTTTTTTTTATAATCGTGAGTGTCCGAATCAACTACGCGTACTTCAACTAATCCTACGAAATCTTGAAATTTACAGTCGAGTGCTCATCTCATTGACCTTAAGGGGATTCGAACTAGTGATCATTAGGAAACAAGCCCAAAACTTGACCACAAAACTACCCCTCAAAATTATTGACGATTAAATCATGAGTTGAAAAAATTTATACCATCAATTTTAAAATTTATTTTTTAAATCAATGAAACAGATCTTGACAATACATAAATTGTCAACAATCATTGTACAAGTAAATTTCTTGATTCTTCCAAGTATGAGTTCCAAGCCTAAAAGATTTTGCACATTTTGCCCTTGCTTGAACCATTTTTCAAAATTTTAATTATCTCTGAACTCATTTTCAATCACATATTTTTCAATGATATAACTTCGCACATAAATTCACAATTTATTTTTTTTTCAAATTTTTAGCCATAATTTCTCTAAACAATTCAATATTACAAAATTTATTTTTCCTCCGAAAAGAATACTCAAACAAGGATTTCTCACAATTCTAATAATTCAAAAAATGAAAAACGAAATATACGGTAAAATAATAGAAGAAAATATGAAAATCTTGATAATGTACACCTAAGGAGCTCTGATACTAAGACGTATCCGATTTTCACCTCCATTTCAACAATCAGCAAACAGCAAATGGGTTTCTCGATGCCCACATATTCATCTTGTTCAACAATCCCTTCCAATATTGTTAAAATTTCTCCAAAAATCCCACCGTCTTTCGTTCATTATCCCCAATTTAAATACAGCGGTATAAACACAAGCGCTGGACGTGGGTTGTTGCGTTGCTACGCATCAGCAAAGCAGCAGCGCGGTACTGGACCGCCAGCTACGAAGAAGAAGAAGAAACCCAGTGGAAAAGGGAAGAATATAGTAGAAGATGATTTTGAAATTGACCGAAGTAGTGGAGTGGAGGTGCGGCAGTCAGAGTCTCAGCAGCCACCTTATCAGCAGCTTCCTCTGCCTAAACCTCCGGCTGGGTTTGTGTTGGACGACCAAGGGAGAGTCCTCATGGCGTCTAACAAACGTATTGCCACAATTGTACGGTTTTAATGATTTTCTTTCCTTTTTCCTCTCTTGTTTGTATGTTATAGATGCAGTTCAGTTCATATATTATTCATCCTAAACAAGTCACTGACAGGTTGATACTACAAATAACTTCCCATTGGAGTGCGTCATTAGGAGGGTGTTTAGAAATTCACGAGGAGATGAATGTATGCTACTCTGCCCCGTTGATACGTAAGCGAGGTTTCAGGGCTGTGGTTACAAATATCTGTTAGTCTTTGGTAAATGTTTGTCTAACAAATACAATTGATTGCAGGCCTGTTCAGATTTTGAAGAGTGTCAATGTAGAAGGATGGTCTGCTGTAAGTCTGATAATTTACCTCGCTTTGATTCATTATCTAATAGCCGTGGCGCTAATCACAATTTACGTTTTCTCCAAAAGGCAAAGAGTGTTTGTGACTGTATTCTTCAGACGTGTACTCGTCTTAACAAACGTTCATTACTGTAGAATTTGTAATTTTTTAGATCATAGCTATGATATGCTTGAGAGAAGCTCGGTCCCTTTCCTATTTGCATTTTCATTTGAATATATGCTTTGAGTGTACCTGGCCAGTAGAATCCAGAAACATCACTCAAGAGGCCCCCTTGCACGTGATGTTTGGGGGTTACTAGCTGAAATCTTTATTTTGGTATTTCAACAAGCCACGTTACAGGTTCATGTAGTTTATTTATATTAGTCTTATGCAATGTTTTAGTGCTTTTGGACATACTTCTTTGTCATTGAGAGTGATGTTGTTCATTTCTAATTTGGGGCAGAACATGAATAACAAAGATGGAGTATCTTTTTTAGTTTCATGTCATAGGTCAATCTTTTGAAGATGACCCTTGATAGATTACGGTCTAGATAAGTGAAGTTTAGTTGAGTTGAGGTGATGAACAAATTATTGTATAGTGGACACTTGGCAAAGATCAGTATTGTAATGCATATTCTTCTCTAATTGAAGCTCTCAAACATTCTGGCATACTCAAGTCTATGAGCTGGAATATGTTATGATATTATGAGTGTTGGTGAGGTGTGTATGTCTTTAAGATAGGTGGTAGCTTTGAGACTGCTCACTCTTTTTTGTGAATGCAAGATTATTAGCTCAGCTGACTGTGTGTGCTTTTCTGAATTCTTCTTTAATGTTGTTTTTGCGTTTTTGGTCTCTCTCTCTCTTTTTTTTTTTTTTCCCCCAAAACAGCGTCAAAGTGTAAGTGGAATTTTTACTCCTCCACCTAAACCCAATGGGGTTTTGGATTCCCCGGCCCTGTTTTATAAATGAATTCACAAATACACATGGAGGGGGACATGGACCTTACCTTTACCTCCAGATATTACATCAAGAAGAGAGAAAGAAGCAATTATAAAAGCACTAAAATTGGAAGTATTGCTTCCATTACAAGACTTAATGAAAACCACCAATAAAAGTTTGAAAATATAAATCATAACTAATATAAGGTGGTGAATTTTTAAGTCTGTCCATGCAAATAAGAGGGATGGAGAAATTGATTGGCTCAAGTGAGGCACTGCGTATTGTTGGAGTTATTTTCTTTGTGAATCACTTCTGGAAAGAAGTCCATGATTTGTGATTATTTATGCGAATCAGAGAAACATACAAAAGAGATCAATTTTCATCTTTTTTGTGGGCTTCTTGTGCTTTCATTCTCAAAGATCAATTTCCTGACTTATAGAGTCTTAAAATCTCTCCCTCTCCTTAGTTTCATCCGCACTAACCATTTTTTAAGTAATTTGACTTATTTATTTTGATGCTCATCTGCTTTGTAGGTCAGTGATGAAGAAGTTGAGGCTATTCTCCCAACTGCAGCCTATGCCCTGGCCAAAATACATATGCATCTGGTGTACAGTGGGTATGATAACTCTCACTTATTTTTGGGGGGTTGTCAGTCGTCACTGTTAACTTTACTTTCTGTGACTCATAACATATAGCATTCTAATACATCTGATGTCGAGTAACTTCTTTTTTCTTTGTCATCAGATTTTGTTATACAGCACGAGGTGGTTTTTGCTATACTGAGGATGACATATTTGACTTCCACACTGGTAACATTTTGTTTCAACTCTTTAAAGCTTGTACCCTGATGAGAGTCATTTATCCACTTTTTGTATTCCCCTACGAATTTAGTGTTGCTGCCACTGTCTGGTCCACAGGAAGCTAAAAATCAGTTAAGTAGCTGAGCACTGGTTTGATTTCAAAACCTTGATCAGAATAATATATAATGGCTATTCAAATTAGAAGGTTTTAAGCCACGTCTTGTGTGAATAAATTGATTTGACACTTCCCGCATAATATGCTCGTTCAGCTTGAATAGATCAAATTTGGTAACTGCACAAATTGGCGATGGAACTGTTTGCATGCCAGAGTAGCGAGTTGCTTTACAAGTATCCGTAATTTGTCAATTTCTCAATGAAACTGTTTGCATGCCAGATTGACAACATGATTGTTCCACAGATATCATCTATTAGCATTTTGATGGCATTGGCATATCAGCCAATTGCCAGCCTCTAAACAAACACGATGACATGGTTATCATCACATGCTGCCGTGATGTGTCGAATAACTTACAATTTGCACAGGGTTACATGGAATTTCCCAAAATCAAGCCTTAAACTTCCACTAGCGTCTTCCCTGGTTAAATATCATAAAGAATTAGCTATGCCATTACTGCCATGGGCCAATTGGTATTGTTTCTGTGAATACTCTTTCCAAGTTCCGGCTAAATTTTTTTACGTTTTGACGAGCACTTCATTGTCCTGCAGATAATGGTGAAAACATTGATGGCTTGCCAACTGAAGGCATTGAAATTGCATGTTTCCATCTGGTATGGCATCTCCAAAAAAATTGAAATGGTGTTGTTTATCGTTTTTTGTTGACCGATCATGTTAAATGGGAAAGTGAGTCAGAATAGCCTCATATGAGGTTAATGTTATAGGTGAAAAATAATGAGGAAACTAATTTGAATTTAAAAGAATGACTACTGAGCAAGCAGTGAGTAGTTTACTGTGGTTTGTTGAGAGGTCGAAGGAACTGAGTGAACCATTCTAAGGTGCTCCGACTTATAGACAAGAGAGTATATGTGTATTTTCCTTTCTGCAAATGGTTTCTTCTTATCTTGATATTTTTACCATGCAGGATGGTTCCCACTACATAATTTATACACCTTCTGACCCTCTTCTATTTGTTGCTGTGAAGGTAAAGGATTAATGATCATTCGTAAAATTTCCTCATTTAGTTCAAAGATCTCTCTCTAGTATTATGTAATATCCCCTGATAATAATATATATATATATTTTTTTCATAACACCTTGAACTAATTTCTTTTTTGTTTTGAAATCCACAAGGCTATTTTGTAATAAAGTCCATTTTATGCTTTTGCAGGATGAAAATGGTACACTTCAAATAGCCGATGATGTAAGCAATTGACTCTCAGCACATATTTTAATCTTTCCTTTTCTTCCCTTTGTTTCGATATTTAAATAATGCTACAAAGCACTTAATATGGTTCAATAGAGGACATAAATCTCCCCTTCCTGCACGAAGCTTAGTATCATGGATGCTACTATATAGCATTGTAATTCATTACGAGTATTTTCTCATTAACTTAAAAAAATTCATTATAGAGTTTTAACAACTTTGTAGTTTTGTACTGTCCATAATCTCGAGAACAAGGCCGTTGCTTTCAATTCAATGATATGTTAATTTTACCTTCTCAATCCTACTAATTGCCCAAAAAAATAAATAGATGACAGAGATTTGAGATTGATTTACTTGAAATATCAATGATAAAACTATAAAATGAGTTACATGTATCCTTGTAAATCCATTATTCTTAATCTCGAGCTTGATCAACAACTCAACCTTGTGGCCGCAATCTCCAATTCTCTAACATACTTTCCGGTTCTTCAGTCACAAGAAAAGTTGTATTTGCATGTTACTGATTAAAGCCTCTTATTAGAAGCTTTGCAGCAATAAGTCAAGTAAAAACGAAACATGATCTATTATTTCCACTGCCACCGGTAGGAGCTATATTGACAATTTTGGTTCTGTAGCATTAGGGTACTGGTATATCTGCCTTTTGTCATTATAATCAAGTACTCAAGTGTATATTCCCGTGACTTCATGTGGGCAATTCTCAATTGCACACTGCAATCCTTTTGGTAGAGATCAATCTGTACTCTGTAGCTTGAGTTGCCGCTTTGTTTTTTCATTAGATATGTAAATTGGAAGTTTCAGTCTTTAAACTCTCCTGAAACAGGAACTTTTGGAGGATCCATCGGTAATCAGTGCCATTGACGAGGAGACTGAATTTAATGCCTTAGTGGTACGTATGAAACCAACTTCACTTGCTGAACAGAGATTAATAGTTTACATATTCTCCTCATATCAATTGCCATATTTCCAGGAAGAAGAGGCTGCTATGCTTGAATCATTACTTGGAAAAAGATGATCCAGTTACTGTATAATCAAATTTAGCGAGTTTACTACAGCTTAGTCCACAAGCCTAGGAAACCTATACGATGTATGCTTCCTTAATTATATATTCCTTATTATCAGACACGGATTTTGTTAATAACTTCGATAAGCCTCTCCCCCAGCATGCATATGCACTGTCTACTGGGCTAAGGCTGAGTGGTTTTGCTATATTTTCTTTTGGGAAAATTTCATAACTAAGAAATTAATTATGGCACATTTCAAAAACAAGAAAACAAGTTTCAAATTTCTAAAATCAGATTTTTATTAAAAATTATTTATAATTTAATCAGTTAATTAATTATTTTATTAATTAAATATATTTAGGTCTCGGATCTATACAATTTGGTCACAAATTAACAATATAAATAGTTATTTATTATTTTTTGGTCACAAATCAAAAATTTTATGTTACAAATTTTTTTACGTTCACAATTCAAAAATTTTGTAAGTCACAGTTTTTTCGTTGGTCACAAATTAAAAAATTAATTAGTTACGGATTAATTTTTAATCACGATTTATCATATTATTGGTCAAAAGTTATTTTTCGGTCACAAATCAAAGAATTTATAGGTCACAGAATATTTTTGGGTCACAAATCCAAAAATGTTATAGGTCACAGATTTATCAGCATCATAAAATGATACGTCAAAGCTAATACTCTGTGGTCCATAAGGACGTGTATCGGTGTGGCTCCTAAACCTCTCCTCCCAATTCTCATGTTCTCCTTTTTTCTCCCTCAGCTGTTCAAAATCAAACAAACCATTTGAGTTCAAAGACAATACTCTTTTCCCATTTTTCCCAGTTTCTCTCGCAAAAACCTCAAAAGGGTCATGCCGAATTACACCCTCATATCCATCAGAAAGATAAACAACGGACAAGATGCCCAACCCATCTTCACTTTTCTCAGTTTTTAACTTCTGTAACCACAGCTTTTTGTTCAAAAACTCTGGCACAATCACATCAGGCACCTGAAATCTCTTCTTGCGCGGGCTCAAACTCTGGTCCTCATCAATCTTGAGCCTCAAAACACCATCTTGATAAGCAGAAATTGTCAGAACCAAAGGCTTAACAATGGGATTTTCTTGATTATGTATATTTTCTTGGACCTTATCATTGGGGACGAGCTTCGCTATAAGATCGCCATCGAAAATCGAGACATCGGTGGCGATTAGAGAGCACGCACCGGGTTTACGGGATCGGGCACGTTTGCAGAATGGGGTCTGATTGCAGTTTCTGAACTCATCTTTTTTCCAAGAAAAAACAGAATTAATGAAAAGGAGGAATAAGAGAAAGTTGTACAGGTTTAATTTCATGATTTTACTGTACTTTGGTGAAATAACAAATCACCGCTCAGCTTAAGTGGAAACCAGTCAAAGAACTGGTAGAGGCCATGAAGATGACACAGTATGACCAGTAAGGAATGAAAGAAATTGGAAGAGACGGAAAAATAGTAATTTGGGCCCTCATTTTATGGATAATATTGAATATAGACCTTAATTCCAATTTCTTAAATATAGCCTTCGGATATTTTTAGGCCTTTTGCACTTTTCTCAAATTTAAGACTTCGCCCTCCTGATTCGCCCATTTTGCATTTGAACACTTTATTTATCGTATTACAATTTTGACCACTCGACTTTAATTCGAATCCATTGAAATCCCACATCTTCAATTTTATCACAATATAATCACTCATTTTGCTTCATATTTTACCCCTCGTCTATCATGACAATTGACAAATTGATGCGCAATGCCTACATGATCATCAAATATAATTATAACTAATTGGTAATCTTTCACCGTCCACCTAACATGCAAGATAATAAATAGTATCAAACCGTAAAAATAAAACAAATCGAATTCAATTTCATTCTACATTTTAATTTCTTCCTCGATTAAGTGAAAGGGTAACTAGGAAATCGAATTTGTATGTTCCTCAAGATGTGACATTTGTAGGCCATACTTAAAAAGAATCATGTTACAAGTACAACAATAGTTGATAACTTCTATTGACGATTAAATCTTTTTTTTTTTTTATAATCGTGAGTGTCCGAATCAACTACGCGTACTTCAACTAATCCTACGAAATCTTGAAATTTACAGTCGAGTACTCATCTCATTGACCTTAAGGGGATTCGAACTAGTGATCATTAGGAAACAAGCCCAAAACTTGACCACAAAACTACCCCTCAAAATTATTGACGATTAAATCATGAGTTGAAAAAATTTATACCATCAATTTTAAAATTTATTTTTTAAATCAATGAAACAGATCTTGACAATACATAAATTGTCAACAATCATTGTACAAGTAAATTTCTTGATTCTTCCAAGTATGAGTTCCAAGCCTAAAAGATTTTGCACATTTTGCCCTTGCTTGAACCATTTTTCAAAATTTTAATTATCTCTGAACTCATTTTCAATCACATATTTTTCAATGATATAACTTCGCACATAAATTCACAATTTATTTTTTTTTCAAATTTTTAGCCATAATTTCTCTAAACAATTCAATATTACAAAATTTATTTTTCCTCCGAAAAGAATACTCAAACAAGGATTTCTCACAATTCTAATAATTCAAAAAATGAAAAACGAAATATACGGTAAAATAATAGAAGAAAATATGAAAATCTTGATAATGTACACCTAAGGAGCTCTGATACTAAGACGTATCCGATTTTCACCTCCATTTCAACAATCAGCAAACAGCAAATGGGTTTCTCGATGCCCACATATTCATCTTGTTCAACAATCCCTTCCAATATTGTTAAAATTTCTCCAAAAATCCCACCGTCTTTCGTTCATTATCCCCAATTTAAATACAGCGGTATAAACACAAGCGCTGGACGTGGGTTGTTGCGTTGCTACGCATCAGCAAAGCAGCAGCGCGGTACTGGACCGCCAGCTACGAAGAAGAAGAAGAAACCCAGTGGAAAAGGGAAGAATATAGTAGAAGATGATTTTGAAATTGACCGAAGTAGTGGAGTGGAGGTGCGGCAGTCAGAGTCTCAGCAGCCACCTTATCAGCAGCTTCCTCTGCCTAAACCTCCGGCTGGGTTTGTGTTGGACGACCAAGGGAGAGTCCTCATGGCGTCTAACAAACGTATTGCCACAATTGTACGGTTTTAATGATTTTCTTTCCTTTTTCCTCTCTTGTTTGTATGTTATAGATGCAGTTCAGTTCATATATTATTCATCCTAAACAAGTCACTGACAGGTTGATACTACAAATAACTTCCCATTGGAGTGCGTCATTAGGAGGGTGTTTAGAAATTCACGAGGAGATGAATGTATGCTACTCTGCCCCGTTGATACGTAAGCGAGGTTTCAGGGCTGTGGTTACAAATATCTGTTAGTCTTTGGTAAATGTTTGTCTAACAAATACAATTGATTGCAGGCCTGTTCAGATTTTGAAGAGTGTCAATGTAGAAGGATGGTCTGCTGTAAGTCTGATAATTTACCTCGCTTTGATTCATTATCTAATAGCCGTGGCGCTAATCACAATTTACGTTTTCTCCAAAAGGCAAAGAGTGTTTGTGACTGTATTCTTCAGACGTGTACTCGTCTTAACAAACGTTCATTACTGTAGAATTTGTAATTTTTTAGATCATAGCTATGACATGCTTGAGCGAAGCTCGGTCCCTTGCATTTTCATTTGAATATATGCTTTGAGTGTACCTGGTCAGTAGTATCCAGAAACATGACCCAAGAGGCCCCCTTGCACGTGATGTTTGGGGGTTACTAGCTGAAATCTTTATTTTGGTATTTCAACAAGCCACGTTACAGGTTCATGTAGTTTATTTATATTAGTCTTATGCAATGTTTTAGTGCTTTTGGACATACTTCTTTGACATTGAGAGTGATGTTGTTCATTTCTAATTTGGGGCAGAACATGAATAACAAAGATGGAGTATCTTTTTTAGTTTCATGTCATAGGTCAATCTTTTGAAGATGACCCTTGATAGATTACGGTCTAGATAAGTGAAGTTTAGTTGAGTTGAGGTGATGAACAAATTATTGTATAGTGGACACTTGGCAAAGATCAGTATTGTAATGCATATTCTTCTCTAATTGAAGCTCTCAAACATTCTGGCATACTCAAGTCTATGAGCTGGAATATGTTATGATATTATGAGTGTTGGTGAGGTGTGTATGTCTTTAAGATAGGTGGTAGCTTTGAGACTGCTCACTCTTTTTTGTGAATGCAAGATTATTAGCTCAGCTGACTGTGTGTGCTTTTCTGAATTCTTCTTTAATGTTGTTTTTGCGTTTTTGGTCTCTCTCTCTCTTTTTTTTTTTTTTCCCCCAAAACAGCGTCAAAGTGTAAGCGGAATTTTTACTCCTCCACCAAAACCCAATGGGGTTTTGGATTCCCCAGCCCTGTTTTATAAATGAATTCACAAATACACATGGAGGGGGACATGGACCTTACCTCCAGATATTACATCAAGAAGAGAGAAAGAAGCAATTATAAAAGCACTAAAATTGGAAGTATTGCTTCCATTACAAGACTTAATGAAAAACACCAATAAAAGTTTGAAAATATAAATCATAACTAATATAAGGTGGTGAATTTTTAAGTCTGTCCATGCAAATAAGAGGGATGGAGAAATTGATTGGCTCAAGTGAGGCACTGCGTATTGTTGGAGTTATTTTCTTTGTGAATCACTTCTGGAAAGAAGTCCATGATTTGTGATTATTTATGCGAATCAGAGAAACATACAAAAGAGATCAATTTTCATCTTTTTTGTGGGCTTCTTGTGCTTTCATTCTCAAAGATCAATTTCCTGACTTATATAGTCTTAAAATCTCTCCCTCTCCTTAGTTTCATCTGCACTTACCATTTTTGAAGTAATTTGACTTATTTATTTTGATGCTCATCTGCTTTTTAGGTCAGTGATGAAGAAGTTGAGGCTATTCTCCCTACTGCTGCCTATGCCCTGGCCAAAATACATATGCATCTGGTGTACAGTGGGTATGATAACTATCACTTATTTTTGGGGGGTTGTCAGTCGTCACTGTTAACTTTACTTTCTGTGACTCATAACATATAGCATTCTAATACATCTGATGTCGAGTAACTTCTTTTTTCTTTGTCATCAGATTTTGTTATACAGCACGAGGTGGTTTTTGCTATACTGAGGATGACATATTTGACTTCCACACTGGTAACATTTTGTTTCAACTCTTTAAAGCTTGTACCCTGATGAGAGTCATTTATCCACTTTTTGTATTCCCCTATGAATTTAGTGTTGCTGCCACTGTCTGGTCCACAGGAAGCTAAAAATCAGTTAAGTAGCTGAGCATTGGTTTGATTTCAAAACCTTGATCAGAATAATATATAATGGCTATTCAAATTAGAAGGTTTTAAGCCACGTCTTGTGTGAATAAATTGATTTGACACTTCCCGCATAATATGCTTGTTCAGCTTGAATAGATCAAATTTGGTAACTGCACAAATTGGCGATGGAATTGTTTGCATGCCAGAGTAGCAAGTTGTTTTACAAGTATCCGTAATTTGTCAATTTCTCAATGAAACTGTTTGCATGCCAGATTGACAACATGATTGGGTTCCACAGATATCATCTATTAGCATTTTGATGGCATTGGCATATCAGCCAATTGCCAGCCTCTAAACAAACACGATGACATGGTTATCATCACATGCTGCCGTGATGTGTCGAATAACTTACAATTTGCACAGGGTTACATGGAATTTCCCAAAATCAAGCCTTAAACTTCCACTAGCGTCTTCCCTGATTAAATATCATAAAGAATTAGCTATGCCATTACTGCCATGGGCCAATTGGTATTGTTTCTGTGAATACTCTTTCCAAGTTCCGGCTAAATTTTTTTTACGTTTTGATGAGCACTTCATTGTCCTGCAGATAATGGTGAAAACATTGATGGCTTGCCAACTGAAGGCATTGAAATTGCATGTTTCCATCTGGTATGGCATCTCCAAAAAAATTGAAATGGTGTTGTTTATCATTTTTTGTTGACCAATCATGTTAAATGGGAAAGTGAGTCAGAATAGCCTCATATGAGGTTAATGTTATAGGTGAAAAATAATGAGGAAACTAATTTGAATTTAAAAGAATGACTACTGAGTAAGCAGTGAGTAGTTTACTGTGGTTTGTTGAGAGGTCGAAGGAACTGAGTGAACCATTCTAAGGTGCTCCGACTTATAGACAAGAGAGTATATGTATATTTTCCTTTCTGCAAACGGTTTCTTCTTATCTTGATATTTTTACCATGCAGGATGGTTCCCACTACATAATTTATACACCTTCTGACCCTCTTCTATTTGTTGCTGTGAAGGTAAAGGATTAATGATCATTCGTAAAATTTCCTCATTTAGTTCAAAGATCTCTCTCTAGTATTATGTAATATCCCCTGATAATAATATATATATATATTTTTTTCATAACACCTTGAACTAATTTCTTTTTTGTTTTGAAATCCACAAGGCTATTTTGTAATAAAGTCCATTTTATGCTTTTGCAGGATGAAAATGGTACACTTCAAATAGCCGATGATGTAAGCAATTGACTCTCAGCACATATTTTAATCTTTCCTTTTCTTCCCTTTGTTTCGATATTTAAATAATGCTACAAAGCACTTAATATGGTTCAATAGAGGACATAAATCTCCCCTTCCTGCACGAAGCTTAGTATCATGGATGCTACTATATAGCATTGTAATTCATTACGAGTATTTTCTCATTAACTTAAAAAAATTCATTATAGAGTTTTAACAACTTTGTAGTTTTGTACTGTCCATAATCTCGAGAACAAGGCCGTTGCTTTCAATTCGATGATATGTTAATTTTACCTTCTCTATCCTACTAATTGCCCAAAAAAATAAATAGATGACAGAGATTTGAGATTGATTTACTTGAAATATCAATGATAAAACTATAAAATGAGTTACATGTATCCTTGTAAATCCATTATTCTTAATCTCGAGCTTGATCAACAACTCAACCTTGTGGCCGCAATCTCCAATTCTCTAACATACTTTCCGGTTCTTCAGTCACAAGAAAAGTTGTATTTGCATGTTACTGATTAAAGCCTCTTATTAGAAGCTTTGCAGCAATAAGTCAAGTAAAAACGAAACATGATCTATTATTTCCACTGCCACCGGTAGGAGCTATATTGACAATTTTGGTTCTGTAGCATTAGGGTACTGGTATATCTGCCTTTTGTCATTATAATCAAGTACTCAAGTGTATATTCCCGTGACTTCATGTGGGCAATTCTCAATTGCACACTGCAATCCTTTTGGTAGAGATCAATCTGTACTCTGTAGCTTGAGTTGCCGCTTTGTTTTTTCATTAGATATGTAAATTGGAAGTTTCAGTCTTTAAACTCTCCTGAAACAGGAACTTTTGGAGGATCCATCGGTAATCAGTGCCATTGACGAGGAGACTGAATTTAATGCCTTAGTGGTACGTATGAAACCAACTTCACTTGCTGAACAGAGATTAATAGTTTACATATTCTCCTCATATCAATTGCCATATTTCCAGGAAGAAGAGGCTGCTATGCTTGAATCATTACTTGGAAAAAGATGATCCAGTTACTGTATAATCAAATTTAGCGAGTTTACTACAGCTTAGTCCACAAGCCTAGGAAACCTATACGATGTATGCTTCCTTAATTATATATTCCTTCTTATCAGACACGGATTTTGTTGATAACTTCGATAAGCCTCTCCCCCAGCATGCATATGCACTGTCTACTGGGCTAAGGCTGAGTGGTTTTGCTATATTTTCTTTTTAGTTTTTCATTTTTTATTTTATAATTTTCTTTCATTCTTTCATCAAAATTAAGCGAGTTTCTGGTTTAGCGTGAATAAGAGAGCAAAGTTTTTACAAGTAAACATATATAATTATCATACACATAACATGATATATAATGAAATTAAATTTATCCTTTAATAAATTTCTATTTTTCTGAAAAATATATTGGCAACCTCGGTAATCCATGGTCACTTCACCCAATTTCTGATTCAAAGACTTATTTATTATTTTTAATATGCAGTTTATGTAGGAAATAATTTTGCGTTGGAGAGATGCAAACAAATAGACAAATAGCAAAATAATTCTTCTTCCAAAAGCGAATAAGTAAAATGCCACTCTTGACAATTGTATATGTTGAAAATATTCTAAAGAAAATCAATCACATTAAACCACAAGGATACAAGCCATTATTATATGTGAAAAACTTCCTCGATGTGAGGATTAAAAATAACGAGACATGGTCCAATCAAAACTTTCATTGTTAATCAAATAATGGATACACCAAGTCTTCTCTAGTCACAGTTGGAGCGTACAACGTATATTTCTTCAAGATAACAACAATATCAACAAAACAATATGAATATAGGGAAAATATATCAAATATCCGGTCATTGCTCACACACATTAACCAATGTCCACGAACTCGAAATTCAATCTCCATCATTCAGAAGTTGTTTTCTTGTAGCATTGCCCCCCATAGTAAACTCGACTTCTTGTACCACTATCTCGATGTTTACTTCATACCATAAAGATTTTTCTTAAACTTGCACACATAATACTCTTTCCCTTTCACTTTGAAACCCTCAAGCTACTCCGTATAAATCTCTTTCTCCAAATCATCAAGGAAGGCAATTTTCACATTCATTAGCTCAACTTCTAAGTCAAGACTCTCTGCTAGGCCAAAAACAATACGAATAGATGACATCTTTATGATTGGAGAAAAGATCTCATCAAAATCAACACTTTTTCTCTTACCAAACTCTTTTACAACCAATCTAACTTTATACCGCGACTGTGAAGAAAACTCATTTTGCTTCACCTTGTAGGTCCATTTGTTCTTTAAAGCTTTTTTAATCTTAGGTAGCTTCACTAACTCTAAGATGTGGTTATCATACAATGACTACATTTCATCTTGCATGGACTCAACCCACTCTGTCTTATGTTCATCTTCCATGGCTTCTACATAACTCTCGAGCTCTCCTCCATCCGTCAATAACACATACTACTCTACTAAATACCATGTGAAAGGATGTAGATATCTAGAAGACCTCCCGAGTGGAATCTCTAGTGGGACTCCTAGTGTAATATCTAGCACTATCAACTGCTCATTAGTCTCATCATACGCCTGAGCCTGCAAAGGAGCATCAACATCACCTATACCCTAGTGGCAATCCTAAACATCATTCTCAACTTGAGTTGGCAAATTGTTCATAGAAACCAAATCCAAATCAATTAAATTATAGCCCTTCTAAGGTATAGATTTCTCTACTTTCTCAATATCCTAAATTGTCTTATTTTCAATAAATACGACGTCTTTGCTTCTCACAATTTTCTTCTCAACTGAATCATAGAGCATGTATCCAAACCCATCTTGACCATAACCAAGAAATACACATTGTCGTGTTTTCACATCAAACTTAGACATCTCATCTTTAGGAATATGCACAAATGCACCAAACACACAAGTTATCGTAGGAAACATCCTTACCATTTCAAACTCTTGTCTAATACATTATACTATAAGGGAACACAACGTGTACGATTCAACACATGCACGATAGTGCTTCTTGCCTCACCCCAAAAGAATTTTGGCAACTGTACTTGAGAAAATAAACATCTCACTCTCTCAACCAATGTTTTATTCATCACTTCTAATATATCATTCAACTATGGAGATTTCAGAGTTATCTTTTAATGTCAAATTTCCTGCTATCTGCAATACTCATAAAAAAGACTAGAATACTCTCCTCCATTTCCTCAAACTTCTTTTCAATCTGTCTCTCAACCAAGGCCTGGAATTGATTGAACATAGTCGACACTTGATCTTTTAACTTCAACATGTAAACCCACAACTTCTTTAAATGGTCATCTAAACGTTATAAAGTAACTGGAGCCACCAAATGTTCTCGTCTTCACCGACATATCTAAATGTACCAAATCCAGTAATTCTGACTTTTTTGAAAGAACAAAATTATTGAAGAAGACTCTGTTATGCTTCCCAGACAAACAGTGAGTACACTTTTTTAGGTGTGTACTTTTTGCCTACTGAGTACAATTTTCTTCTCCAATAAAGCTAATCCTTTCTCATTCATGTGAGCAAGTTTTTTATGCCATAACTCTACTGTACAATCATCCTCCATTGCATTAACGATGTAACTGGAGAGCTTTGCCTGCAAAACATACAACATAGAGGCCCTTTTAAGTTGAACCACAACCATAATACCATAAGTGAACTTTCACTAACCATTACTAAATGTACTACCATACCCATCATCATCAAATTTTCTTGCAGAAATCAAGTTTAAATGATTATCTGGAATATCTTTACATCTTTAAGAACCAACCTCGAACTATTACTCATCTCCAAATACACATTTACAATACCAAGCCATTACTGCCCATCTCCATAGTTTCAAAATCACCGATCTATAGGATGTAAAGACATCTTTCCGCGATGTAGCATAAATGGAAGCAACACTATCAATCACCCAACTGGTCTCATAACTTGCAAAATAGATCATCTCATCGTCATAAATAATGAGGAAGTTTGCAGGAGTGGTGGTAGCAACTTTATCATTACTATCTTTGTCATCCTCATTCTTCTCTTCATTCTCTTTTTCATTCTTGTTTTCTTTCTTCCATTGCCTGCAATGTTTCTTGATGTATCCATTTTTTCCATAATGATAACACTCAATATTCGTAAACTTGTTCAACTTGGCTCTACTTCTGTCTCTGTTCTTCTAACCTTTGCTCTTACTCTTCCCCCTCTTTTTTGTAAGCAAGACCTGTGACTGTGAAGATCTCTGTGATTTTCTTTTCATTCTTCATTTTACAATAAACTCTTGGCCAGATCTATTGTGAGGGCACCATTTGGAACAAAGTAAGATAATGAAGTTCTGAGCATCTCCCATGAGTTCGATAATGAACCAAACAACCATAACCCCTCAATTTCATCATCAAACTTAATACCCATCCAGCCAACTGATTAATAATTCATTGGAATATATTTAGATTACCAGTTAAAAGAGTTCTATCCTAGTATTTCAATGTCATTATCTGCTTAATCAGAAACATCTTATTATTAACAGTCTTTCTAGCATATAACTTTTCAAGCTTACTCCACGAAGGACGAGCATGTGTCTCCCCCACCAACATAGTTCAAAGCATCATCATCTACCCACAAACTTGTCTATACAACAAATTCCATTCTTCATTTGACTTGTTATACAATTTTCCAGCTATAAACATCAATACGTAATGATCTTTCACATAAAAAAAAATCTTTCATTTTTCCTTTCCATATGTGATAATTCAAACCATTCAAGTTAATCATTTTACTCAAATTCATTTTCATAATCTAGAACTCAAATCTCAAAATCTAGCTCTGATACCACTTGTCGAGAGATATGCAAACAAATAGACAAATAGTGAAATAATTCTTTTCCCAAAAGCAAATAAATAAAATGCCATTTGACAATTGTATATGCTGAAAATATTCTAAAGAAAATCAATCACACCAGACCATAAGAACATAATCAATTATTTTACATAAAAAAGCTTTCCCTATGTGGGGAATAAAAACCACGAGACTCAGTCTAGTCAAAACCTCCATTATTAATCAAATAATGGGCACACCAAGTCTTTTCTAGTCATAACTAGAAGCTACAACGTATATTTCTTCAAGATAACGACAATCTCAACAAAAAAAAATGAAAATAGAAAAAATATACAGAAAATCTAGTTACTGTTCACACACATTAACTAATGTTCTCGAGCTCAAAATCTAATCCCACCATTCTCTGTCTTGTGAATGTTTCTTCCAAATTTCAGCTTGATCAAACTCGGGACGACTCGAGATCGAAGCTTTGATGAAATTTGGAAGCAGGGAAAAAAACTATTTTTCTTCTCTTTTAAAAAACTGGTTGGACCCCTATTTTCTCCAATCTCCTTGTATTTATATTCATCATTAGGGTTAGCACCCTAATAGGCTTTGGACTATAATATAAGACCCTAAACATGGGTTTTCCTCTTCATAAGAGGAAATAACCCAACATATTGCCCCACGTTGATTAAGAATTGAATTGAATTGTATTGTCTTGTATAAAATGCAAATTTACTTATTTCCCAGGTAAAAGTTGATTTGTGTTGTCCTTCGTGGTACAACAATTGGTAATTATTCTTATTTCCTATTAGGAATATGAGTAGTTAGTCATTTGTAGCCATGCTCGAAAATAATGCCTTTGTTTGAGTTTCATTTTCGTTTGCTTCAATATTGCATTTCAAAAAATGAGTGGTAGATATTTGGTTAGTACTTATGAGCCTTGAGAAATACGTGACTAAAATTAATACTTGACATTAAAAAGTAACGTTTCAATAAAAAATAACAAAGGCAATATTTGGAAGTGCTTAAGGGTTTTGGTGTGAGAGAAATGTTGTGCAACTGTACAAATTTCGCATAGAAAAGCAACATGAAAGCGTAAGAAGTGTGCGAGGTGATGAATTGAAAGCTGGATGACAACACAGACATCGATAAGGGACAAAGGCTAAGAGCATCTCCAATATATGCACCATTTCACCAAAATGCACCAAATTTTGATGCAAATTTCCTCCAGTGTGGCACCAAACTTTGTGCAACATTATTCACTTTGCACCAAATGGTGCAAAGTATACAATGTCATTTTTAGCCTTACTTTTCATTTCCCAAATAAATTGATTAAGGATATTTGTGTCATTTGTGCTATATATTTTTAATACAATAACTTATTAT